GGTGAGTGGCCCCTTCCCAGTAAATACCTCCATTCTTCCAGAGCGGTTTTAATGGCCAGGAGCTCCCGATCTCCAATGTCATAGTTGCGCTCCGCTGGTGTCAGCTTCCTGGAGAAGAACGCCACAGGGTGCAGTAGTTCCTTGGTACCATTCCTTTGGGACAGAACCGCTCCTACCGCGTTTTCGGAGGCGTCAACTTCCAACACATATGGGAGCGAAGAATCCGGATGGCAGAGAATGGGAGCAGAGGTGAACAGTCTCTTGAGCTTATCGAAGGCCGACTGAGCTTCGGAGGTCCACTTAAAGCGGACCCCTTGTTTCGTCAGTTGCGTGATCGGGGAGACCAGGCCGGAGAAGTTCCTAACAAATTTTCTGTAAAAGTTAGCAAAGCCGATGAAGCGCTGTACCCCCTTTTTGTCGGCGGGTATTGGCCAATCTAAGATCGCCGTGACCTTCTGGGGATCCATCGCGACCCCCGCGGAAGAGAGAGAACCAGTCCCAAGAATGTGATCTCGTGCTGTTCAAAACAGCACTTTTCAGCCTTAGCGTATAGCCCGTGTTGGCGCAACCGTTCTAAGACCCGTGACACGTGACCCCGATGAACCTCCAGTGAGGGGGAAAAAATAGGATGTCATCCAAGTAAACTACCACGAAAATATCAAGAAAATCGCGAAAAACATCATTGATAAAATGCTGAAAAGTCGCCGGGGCATTACAGAGCCCGAACGGCATCACCAAATATTCGTAGTGACCGAATCTTGTACGGAACGCCGTTTTCCACTCATCCCCCTCCCTGATACGAACAAGGTTATAGGCCCCCCGCAGGTCTAATTTAGTGAATATCGTTGCTGATCTCAGTCTCTGGAGGAGCTCGGGGACTAGGGGTAAGGGATAACGATTCTTTACCGTAATTTTATTTAGGTCACGATAGTCTATGCAGGGCCGTAACGATTTGTCCTTCTTCTCTACAAAGAACAACCCGGCCCCGGCTGGGGATGTGGAAGGACGAATAAAGCCCTTCCGAAGGTTTTCGTCGATATATTCCCTCAGCACCCCCGATTCCATTTCGGACAAGGGGAAGATACGGCCGAAAGAGATTTCCGACCCGGGTAGGAGGTCAATGGGGCAGTCGTAGGGACGGTGTGGAGGTAGAACGTCAGCTCCCCGCTTACTAAAGACGTCCAAGAAGTCATGATAGGCCGGAGGAATCACCTGGGATAGATTGGTGTCTCCGTCCAAGCACAGGAGGAACCGGGGAACCATGGGTCCTGTGACGTGGCAGTGACTCAAACAATAGGGTGACCGAAAATGAATCGTTCCCTTTTCCCAGTCAATCTGGGGGTTATGGGCCCTCAGCCAAGGGAGCCCCAGAATGACTGGAAAAAGGGGGGAGGCGATGGCGTCCAAACGGAGGAACTCCTGGTGATGGTCTGCCATAGTGGTGAAAATGGGTGGTGTCTCCTGGTCCACCACCCCAGATTTTATACTGGACCCATCTGCCAAGAAAATGTTGAACCCCTTTCTTTGGTCTGGAGAGGGATTTTTTGCCGGTGGGCAAAAGTCAGATCAATAAAACAGCTACAGGCTCCTGAGTCAACGATCGCGGTCACCGACAATATTCCTCCGGGGAGCTGTAAAGACACAGGAATGGCCAGGTAACTAGACTGATCATCCCTGCCTGCAGGTAAGGAACAAGAAACGGGCGTGGACTTACTCGTTTTTGCAGGACAGGAGCGCACCTGGTGACCAGCTTCCCCGCAGTACAGACACAGGTTCAGTGAGCGCCTCCTCTGGCGTTCCTCGACCGATAAGTGGGAACGGGCCAGTCCCAGTTGCATGGGTTCCGAGTTGTCTCCCATCTCCGTGTTTCGCGGATGGTTCCCTGGGGCTGGAGTTGTATCTCTTGATGGAATCCATGCCACCCTTTGACCCTGGCCGCTCCTTTCCTGTCGACGTTCCCTTAGTCTACGGTCAATTTGAATGGCCAATTCAATCAATCTTTCCAGGGAGTCAGGTAGGCCTACTCGTGCGAGTTCGTCCTTGAGAGGCTCAGACAGTCCAATGCGGAACTGGTGACATAAGGCCGCATCGTTCCATCTGGTGTCTCCCATGCTACGCCTAAAATCGGACGCGTATTCTTCCGCTGCCCGGCGGCCCTGTCGCAGAGAGTATAGGGTAGCCTCTGCGGAAGCAGCCCGCTGAGGGTCGTCATACAAAACGGCCATGGCCTGAAAGAACTCGGTCACGGAGTCAAGATGGGGGTCGCGCCTCTCCATCAGACGGTGGGCCCAATCCTGGGGCTCATCCTGAAGGAGAGAGACTAGAAACCCCACCTTGACGGTCTCGGAGGAGAATGTGCGAGGCTGCAAGTCAAAATATAGTGTGCAAGCGTTCCGAAAGGCTCGGAAGCGGCTCCGGTCCCCACGGAACCGCTCCGGCAGGGGAACGCGGGGTCAGGAGCTAAGGGTGTGGCAACCGCTCCGGATACCGGGGTAGCGGGAGGTTCCACAGACGGGGAACTCTGAGCAGGGGGAGTCTGGGGGGCTAATGTCTCCATGCGGTCTTCCAGTCGGGCGCAGCGACTGTGGAAGTTCTGGAAAGCCTGGGTCAAAGTTGCCAGGTGCTGGCAAATATCCTCTAGGGACGCCGGTCCACTTCCTGGCTCTGTCATGGCCGCAAGGTACTGTTAGGATCCGCCAGGCGGAGCCCTCCGTCTGCCAGCTGGTAGACCTACCCAGAGCGTGGGGTCTAAGCCCGGGCTGTGCTTTCACCAGGGCCCCTGATGGTGGGGATGGACTTGAAACAGTCCCGGGCCAGGTCACGACCTCTGAGCGGGCCACCAGCGGCCGAGGAGGCCTCCGGGGATGTATGTAGGTACCAGGAGAGCCAGCTGTGAAGAGGATGGCGGCCCCAGCAGGGTGGTACGGATAGTGGCCCCGTGGGGTAAGCGGGGTACCGAATCGGCGGGCTAGGAGTAGTCGGGTCACACGCAGGGTCAGCCAGGTAAATCAATCGTAGGAACAGTCGGGATAAGCCGAGTCAAAACGCAGGAGCAGGCAGAATAGTCAGAACAAAGCCGGGTCAATCACAGGAGCGGGTAGAATAGTCAGAACAAAGCCGGGTCAATCTCAGGGGCAGGCAGCGTAGTCAGGGTCAAAAAACAGGGTCACAGCAGGAGCAGGTATTCAGGATCACATATAGACCTTGCGGCAATTTGTGACAGTGCAGGGCATCTTTAAATAGTGCGCCCTGCACTGTCATTGGCTGGCTAGGACGCGCCCCCGGCTGTCATTGGACGCCTGAGGCGCGCCCGCGGTTTCTACTGCGCATGCGCGGCGTCCTGTCAGCCGCGGCTCGCCGGGACCTAGTTCCTGTGTCCCGGCGTGATCTGCCGCCAATGCGCATGCGCGGGGGACAGAGCCGCGATTGCGGCAGACGGAGCCGGTTGGTGTGCTGTGCCTTTTTTTCTCCACACATAGTGTTGTGTGTTCTCCCAAACAACTCAATCTTGGTTTCATCTGTCCACAGTATATTTTGCCAGTAGTGCTGTGGAACATCCAGGTGCTCTTTTGCAAACTTCAAACGTGCTGCAATATTCTTTTTGGACAGCAATGGCTTCCTCCGTGGTGTCCTCCCATGTACTCCATTCTTGTTTAATGTTTTCCTTATTGTAGATGTGTCAACAAAAATGTTAGCATGTGCCAGAGATTTCTGTAGGTCTTTAGCTGACACTCTGGGATTCTTCTTTACCTCATGCAACATTCTGCGCTGTGCTCTTGCAGTCATTTTTACAGGACAACCACGCCTAGGGAGAGTAGCAACAGTGCTAAACTTTCTCCATTTGTAGACAGTCTGTCTTACCGTGGACACATGAATATCAAGGCTTTTGGAGATACTTTTGTAACCCTTTCCAGCTTCATGCAAGTCAACAATTCTTGGTCGTAGGTCTTCTGAGAGCTCTTTTCTACGAGGCATGGTTCACATCAGACAGTGCTTCTTGAAACCAGTAAACCCAAAACAGTTGTGTGTTTTTTAAGGGCAGGACAGCTGTCAGCAACACATCCAATATCATCACACTGATTGGAGTCAAGGTTGGCTCACTCCTGGCTCCAATTAGCTCTGGGAGAAGTCATTAAGTTAGGGCCTCACATACTTTTTCCTCCCTGCACTGTGAATGTTTACATGTTATGTGCAATTAAACCATGGCAACATCTAATGTTTGTGTAGTATTATGTTCAGCAGACTGTGTTCTTCTATTGTTGTGACTTAGATGACGTTCAGAGCACATTTTATGCCCAATTCATGCAAAACTCCACGTAATCCCATGGGGTTCACATACTTTTTCTTGCAACTGTATGATTCTCTTTTTGAGAAAACTAATGATGAGTGCACCTGCTTCCTTGCAGGTAACCATGGTTAACAGAGGAAGAACAATGATTTCAAGCACCACCTTCCTTGTAAAGCTTTCAGTCTGTTATTCTAACTTAATCAGCATGACAGAGTGATCTCCAGCCTTGTCTTTGAAAACACTGACACATGTGTTAATGAGAGAATCACTGACACAATGTCAGCTGGTCCTTTTGTGGCAGGGCTGAAATGCAGTGGAAATGTTTTTTGGGATTAAGTTCATTTTCATGGCAAAGAGAGACTTTGCAATTAATTGCAATTCATGTGATCACTCTTCATAACATTCTGTAGTATATGCAAATTGCCATCATAAAAACTGAGGCAGCAGACTTTGTAAAGATTCATATTTGTGCCATTCTCAAAACATTTGGCCACTGCTCTAGTAATGGTTACCTACAATGTGTTATTCATGCCCTGTGATGGCTGTGGCAAATGAATGATCATTTCATGAAGGAGAACTACTGTAACTTCAGCATGTCTGCACACATTTTTATTCTATGCTTCTGATAGAAGAGCATCCTGTACAAATGTTGAAATAATTTCTTTTCCTAGAATTGCATACTTATGAGTCAACATATCAATTTCCTTTGCAGAAGCCAGAGGGGCCTATGACCCCTCTGGTAAAGCCAGGTACCTGTCTGCCTGCCAACTATTTGGTGTTGTGCCAGTATCATACTTCTTGCGGCACATGGGTGATTCTAATCTTGTGATGAGGCATCATGGACTAGGTGCACAGGTAAGCATAGTATTTTATATACTGATCTGCGGGGGGTATATAGGTATTACTATGAATGTTGTTTGTACTATAGAGTCATATTAGATTATTTTTCTGACACCCAAGTTCACTCTAGAGCCAGCTTGGCGATAAAAACTTTCAATGGTACTGTATATGACACCCACAAGAACACATGTCCATAACCCAAGGTTTTAACATGGAGAGAGGAATTCAATGTATGTTCCCTCTGGGGGTATACAGGTGGATCTTAATGGGCTATGCCCAGGGGCGGACTGACAAATCATGAGGCCCCCGGGCAATAGGGGATCATGGGGCCCCTGTGTCCTTGCCCAAACTCAAAAAAGCCTATGAAAAAGGTTCCAGGGGCATCTCATGGGGCCCCCTACTGACTCCAGGCCCTCGGGCAGTGCCCTAGTTTCCAAATGGTCAGTCCGCCCCTGGCTATGTCAACTCCTGGTTTCTCTATGCATACTCAAACATTGAGATCGGCCTGCTACAATTCTAAAGTCTGCTCCTTTCCCCTTGAGAGTTTAATGTGCTTCTACTCATCTTTGCATGCTCCAGCACATCCTGTTGCTTTCCCCAAAATATAATAAAAATCCAAGAACTAGAATGGAGAGTTCCTCAAAGGAGCCACTGCAGACTTGCATATCCAGAAACTCAAGTGCAAAGAGTCACTGATAGGTATAGGAAACTCAACATGTAGAAAATGCCAGCACCCGTGTTGAGTATTGCCCACCTGTGGCATTATAAGGGTCTGCTGCTGGATAGATTTGTTTGCAGGTAAAAGAAAATGTCAGGTGGTTTACATTTCTGGCATCTAACTAAAACTAAAACTTTTGAACTTGTGAACTGACCCTTTAATTTTGTTTAACCCACAAGACATTGGACGTCTCAATATGCTGTCTGTTACAGTGGACCCTAGGTCAAGCCTGGAGGATTGCTAGTTATGGCCTGGTTCCCTCACTGGATATGGCTTACCCTTCCCTGTTGAAAATCTGGAGACAAATAATGTCCAATATGAGACCTATGTGACCACATACATTCCAATTTAATTTTCACCCTTGGATATTTTTTTGGGTGAGAATGTACAAAAATGTCAAAGTGCATGGAGGAACACAACACAGATGTGTGTTCTATAGGCTATCTATTCACTATCTATGGGTGGCAGCTGGCACCCGCCCTGTGTGTACGCTTCATTAGGTTTTGACCCTGTTTCTCCCCCGAGCTGTGTGCAGGTAGCCTATATGAATGGATGCAGACACAGCGCCTGCACGGACACAGCTGTATGTCAAAATTTGACACAACCATGCATAAGCGCACTCTAAATGCATAGTGATGTAGTGTAATTTGTACCAATAACACCACAATGTAATGATCCAGAAATAAGTCCAAATGTTATAAAAATAAAGTCCATAAAGTTTCAGTGTCTTCAAACCACTAGGGAAATCCAACAATCACATATCAAATCACCCTTGAGTGGCATGCAAATCACCTTCCCTGAACTATATATGCTCACCTCTGGAAATTGACCCCAATCTGAAAAGGTTGCACACTCTTGTGCCCCTTCATGGGCTATGCACCCGATGGTTCCTGGCTTAGTTGTACATTAAGACTGCTCCCAGAATTACTCCTTCACTCCTCCTCTCTTGTCACGCATGGACATCATGAGCTTTCCAACCCTCAACAGCACGCCCATGCTCTAGCGGTTCTTCTCCTGTAGATTACTCCACCTCAGCAGTAACACAACACACATCTGTCTCATACCCATACTGTCTGCATGAGCTGCAAATAATTTCATTAGGTTTAATATGACTGGTCTGTGTTGTACAGTTGCACAATTCTTTCTGATTATCTATGTGACATTTAGTTTGAAATTCAGCATTAAAATTGATTAAGTACAATTAGTATATTTATATGCTCTTGTGTGGGGACTACAATCAGGGTTTCATGGAATCTTAGTGTTCCTCCAGAGATTGCTAGAGTTTTCGTGAGTTGTGGCTGATTGACCTCCCATTTGATGGTGCTTGCATGACACTTGGCAGATTTTTTTTTTGGACCACTGCTGTAAGGGGAGAGTTAGTTCCGTTGACTACCAATGTAAGTGGCATTTTTTTCACTGACCCCTGATGAATAGTATTGGGGTTCCCTGAGACCTGAAAATGATTTCAAGGGTTTCTCTGTGGTAAAAAGGTTGAGAAAGGCTGGTATAGGAGATGATCTTATTGTAAGTCTAGTTAAAGTGTTCCTAAACCCACAACAGTAAAATCAGTCTGTATGTGCAGTAAAACATGCTTGTTATACTCACTGTGGAACCTAAGGGGTTAATCCTCCACATTGTGTAAAAAGGATGTTTGATCCTGTCTTCTCTGTTTCTCCCCTACTTCCATTGTCTCCTAAATATCTCCTGATAGAACAGAGGCTTGGGGACACGCTGAGCATGCTCAGTTTTGGTGTGTATTGCTAGAGAGTTTTTTTTTTTCTTGGGAAAGTGCATGTGATCAGCACAGGGCCAGTCAGCACTGTCCAGACAGAGGTCAAGGATCCTGCATCCTCCTACAGGAGAATTAAAACTCCTCCTGCACACTGTAACCAGTGCTATGCTGGACACTGATAGAAGTCTCAAGACTGCTCTAACTGCTGAGGAGAAAATGTATTTAGCAGTTTATATTTTTAACTAAAATAATTGCATTTCCATGTTCTGTGTACTGTTGGAGACCAGATATAGTGAATGCAGGGTCCTGGGTTTAGTAACAGTTTAAATTCATTAAACTTTCTAATGTAACTGCATTTTATAACCTACATATTACAGACATCTGTTTAGAACCTCTGTGAGGTTTTTTTGTCTGTGTAATTATTTGGAAGATACAACCTTTTTTCTGCTTCAGTGACTGTGTTTACAGACATTCATTCCTGGGTGCATATTGCCCTAAATGTACATACTGCTCGGAGCTCCCCCCAGTTCAATCCAGCTGCAGCAGCTATTGGACTCTCATAGAGTTTGACAGGCTGCCGACAGTAGGGTTGGATGGTGTGCCTGTGCCCTCCAGTTGCAGCTAAATATCGAAGCTTCATGCCTCAGGGCTAAACGCCCAGCTTGTATCTGGTCATAGTTGGTCACCAGGAGAGGAAGTGAAGGAAGGTCTCTCCAGAGGGACCGCAGTCTGCAGTTAGAACCTGACTATGGGTTCCTCAATTGTGTATCTAGTTAGGAACAATACACTGGAAGCTCCATTGCAGTAAAATTTAAAGTGAATAGTACTTTGTTGGCTACAAACACTACAGAGTATGTTGGTGCCATTTACTGCATTGATGTACACACATATTTTTCTTGTACGTTGCATGTTACATAGTTACATAGTTAGTCTGGCTGAAAAAAGACAAAAGTCCATCCAGTTCAACTGTTAAAAAAAAAAAAGTTATAATCCTATACCCACAGTTGATCCAGAGGAAGGCAAGAAAGCCCAGCAAAGCATGATCCAATTTGCTCCTGCTGGGAAAAAATTCCTTCCTGATCCCCCGAGAGGCAATCGGATCTTCCGTGGATCAACTTTACCTATAAATGTTAGTATCCAGTTTTATTCTGTGTATCTCAGAAAGAATCCAGGCCTTTTTTAAAGAAATCCACTGAGCTGGCCAGAACCAACTGTTGAGGGAGTCTATTCCACATTTTCACAGCTCTTACTGTGAAGAAACCTTTCCGTGTTTGGAGATTAAATTTCTTTTCCTCCAGATGTAAAGAGTGCCCCCTTGTCCTCTGTGATGACCTTTGGATGAATAACTGTACACCGAGTTCACTATATGAACCACTGATGTATTTATACATGTTGATCATATCCCCCTTAATCTCCTCTTCTCAAGAGAGAATACATTCAGTTCCTCTAATCTTTCCTCGTAGCTGAGCTCCTCCATGCCTCTTATCAGTTTAGTTGCCCTTCTCTGTACTTTCTCCAGTTCCCCAATGTTCTTTTTCTGAATTGGTGCCCAAAGCTGAACTGCATATTCCAGGTGAGGTGTTACTAATGATTTGTACAGGGGTAATATGATATCTCTCTCTCTGGAGTCTATACCTCTTTTAACACAAGAGAGGATTTTGCTGTTGAATGATGTTGAAGGATGCTGAATATGCTGGTGCTAGGTGAGTTACTAAAATAAAACTGAAGAATTCCTTGCCTTGTCTTCTGGTTTATTTCAGGCTACAAAAGCAATTGCTCTCTCTTTAGTAACCAACACTTCAATCGTCAATCTAAATCTCAGCGATAACTGGCTTGAGGGAGATGGTGCAGCGGCTATTGCAGACATGCTAAAGGAAAACTGTTACATTTCAGGTATGTAATCAACTTCAAAAGACACTTCAGTCAAAAGAAATGTATTTCAAGGCATTCTAATAACATGTGGCTGTAATATTGTATCTCTTCTTTTTCTGCTCAGCCAGTCTCTGATCTGACTACTTTACACCGAAGTCTTATTAGATTCTTCTTTCTGAGGCTACAATTATTTCTATAGACATTGCTCCATCAAAGCATGCTGACCTGTGCATGAACTGCAAGGCTGCCTGAGTACCCATTTTTTGAATAGAATGATAGAGTTAGCTACAGATAGAAGGGACTGCAGGCTTGTACCAGTGTAAATCACACCGTTCTATTTACTTGTTTACAAGCAGCCTGACATTTCAGCTGGTGTACAGGAAACGTCGGTGATATAACATAAAGAAGGGTTACAGTTAAAGTGGATCTAAGCCCAAGAATGTAATATTTTGCAGCTTGGCTGAATTAGTTCTCTATTTTTTCTTTGTTTTCATTTGATGACCCTGGCATTTCTTGTCCTAGGGTGACAACGCTGTACTGTGCTTATAGAGGTGCAGTTGTCACGCTAGGACAGGAAATGTGTTAAGAGAATACCTCCCCTTCTGCTCCTCTTTATAACAAGAGGGGAAGTGTTCTGTAGTTCACAGACAATAACTGGAAATGGCTGAAAACAATGCATGAGAATTCAGTGCAGCAAAGGCAGAGTGCTCAAGAACTGGCAAACTACCTGGATTTCTGGTAGGCCTAAGATTTTTTATTTGTACTATTGACCAGATACAACACAAAATTTAATTGTTCAGTATATTTAAAAGGCACAACTATTTTTTTCCTTTGTCCTATTGGAGAGATTTTCCTTCACTTCCTGTCCTATTGCCAAAAAAGTGAGTGGAAGTGAAAGGAAGTGTGATGAAATCTATTAAAGATGAAGGAATCCCTGATTTTCACCGGGTCACCAGACCTGGGCAGTCTGATTTTCAAAACCAATGAGACCATTTTAACTGATCATAAATGGTTAGCTTTTCCTTCTGGCAGTACTAGGGTCGTTGGTTCGAATCCCAACCACGGCACCACCTGCCTGGAGTTTGCATGTCCTCCCTGTGCCTGCATGGGTTTCCTCTGGGTACTCCAATTTCCTCCCACACTCCAAAGACATGCTGGTTGGTGAATTGGCTCCTGTCTAAATTGGCCTTAGTACATGTATGTATGAATGTGAGTTAGGGACCTTAGATTGTACTCCCCTTGAGGGTTAGGGACCAATGTGAATGCACAATATATATATATATATATATATATATATATATATATATATAAAAGCACTGCATAAATTGACGGTGCTATATAGTACCTGTAATACATAATAATAATAATAACTAGTGTCCCCATTGGAAGATTTCTCCTCTATTTATGTTTCTGTGACAAACCAAAATGTGGGATTTTCTTTCACTTTCACTCTTGGTGATGACAATAAACAAGACAAATGTACCTAATGGAAGCACAGACAGCAATAAAAACCTGACAGGTGTTCTAATCCATTTCCACTCTATCCAAAACTAGTAAAAAGGTTATGCTGTTAGTTGTACTTTGAAGGAGAAGTATAGTCAAAGCTTTTCTGGCTATACCTCTCCTGGGGATCACAGGAGTGCAGTTTGTTCTGCATTCCTGTGACCCATTTTTGTCTGACAGCGTGCTAAAGCCTGCTGTTAGCTGATGTCATAGAGCCAGTCCAGGCTCTGAAAAGATCCGAGCCATACAGGCGGGATCCACCCAGAAGTTTGGACCAGCAGCTGGCTCAGCCTCTCAGCGATCCACTGGGAGCCTGATCCAGCCGTCACCATACCCTCCACAGCCCAGCTCTCTAGTGAGTGCTGGAGGGGCAGAGCAGAGAGCCAGAGACTGACAGTCACCAGCTGTCTGCTCATCGAGCGATCACGGAGTGATCAGCAGTCTTTGATCATTCAGTTCTCAGTCCTAGAGCCAGAGAGCAATGCTGCATCCACCTAAGTGAGTATAATTTTTATTTTTGTTAACCCATGCTTCTCTTTTGAGAGAAACAAAAAGGGAGCAAATAGGAGAAGCTCATTGTAAAGGTTTTTACATACATTTTAACAACACTTAGTACTGTAACTTTTTGGGAATATGAACAATAATGTAATTTTTTATATTTTCCAGAACTCCACTTGTGTGATAACAGACTTGGGCTGAAGGGTGCCAAAGCGCTGTCAGCAATGCTCGTGGAGAATGTTACTTTACAAAAGGTATACCTGTCTGGGAATGACTTTGATGAACGGGCAGCTCCCTGTTTTTCTGATGCTCTAATGAATAACCAGAAGGTGGAATGTATGGACCTCAGCCATAACATGTTTGGAGATGGTTCAGGTATTGACATTCTTGTAGTCACAGATTATAGCATTGTGTTTGTTTGTTCCCCTGCTTCCCCTGCTACATATGCAGTGGCAAGTTTATAAGTCATTTGGAATTACCAAGAATTCCTGAATGGCTTCCAAAATGCAGTCTGATTTTCAAAACCAATGAGACCATTTTAACTGATAACATACTTCTTGTATTCATTCATGTCTTTATTTAACTGTATTGAACACAACATTGAACCAGGCACAGTACGGCCAGGATAATGTAAGCGAAAGTGATAAAGGAATGGAGGAGGATGGGGGCATCTCCTCGTCTGGAACTTTTCACAGCAGCTTCATAGAAGACCCGGAGCTAGTAACTCCTTTAGTGACAGAGGTTCAATGACAGTAAGGGAATGGGGCATGCGGTGAAGATTTTAACAAGATGCAACAGATTTTTTTTGTTTTTTGTTTTACGGCTAAACATCAACTTTAATATAAATAATGGTGAAATATAGAGACCCACTAACAGCCTCCAACATGTTTTATATGTCAACACTTAGGGCTGGTTCACATCGAGATTGCACAGGAATATGTGCTGCGTACCTCTGCAATTCCCGCATGTTCCAATGCAGTGCAATTTTGCAGCCTGTTCATTTGGTTGGACTGCAAATTGAAAACAATGTTGAAAAAGTAGTGCATCCAGAGCCCGTTGTTTGCTGTATTACACTGTCTCCATGTGCCATGAGGGCTTATCATAGGATATAACCAACTACAAACTCATATCTGTATTTTGGTCTGTCCACATTACATCAAGTTTCATACCAACTTCTCATTTTTTTGACCGACTCTGTCATGAGAAAAGTATGGCTGACCCTCTTTAAAATTCTAGTTGCCTGTGTCTAGCTTTAATACTTGTCAGTCACAGACCTGGAACAAGCATGCTGTAATGGGTGTCAGAAAAGTGTCAGAATTATCTGATTCTTGTTCCAGGTCAGAGACTCCGAAAGCATTGAAGCCAAAACATCAGCAACATTCTCAAAAAGGTGGTCAGCAATAGCAGCCCTCATATTTTTGTCGTGACAGATTTCCTTTAAAGGTATACTATAATTAGCTAGAAAAATGTGCATGTAAAGGAAACTTGCACTGAGGAAGTATATAGGTTGCCATTGCTGAGCTCTTGAAAAAGCTAGTAACCTGACTGGCATGATGAATCAATGGTTTCAAAACTTTCTCATCAGCTGTTGAAAAAGTATACAGATTGGAAGTTTTGACTTCACTCTGACTTCTAAAGTCCTCTGAAATGTCATAGAATCGGGTCATGGTGCATGTTAACAGTGCATTCTCAATGTATAACTAAAGGCAAAACTTTTTTTTTTTTTATGTGGGATAGAGTGCAAAGGGGTTAGAACGCTTGTCAGTTTTTATTGCTGTCTGTGCCCCCTTTAGGGAGAATTACTCTCTCTATTTGTCCTGTTTTCCACTATCATTGAAAGTGAAAGTAAAAACAAATCCCAAATTTTGGGTTGTCCCTAGAAAAGTAATAGAGGGGAGATCTGCCGATGGGGACACTAGTTCTGGTGGGGGGTCCCCAAGAAATTCTCTTATTTGCAGGGATTTCCTCTCACTTCCTGTTTGGCTATAGGACAGTAAGAGAAGGAAAATCTCTGCAATGGTACACAGATGGCAAAAAATATCTGACGGGTTATAACCCTCCCTTGCTCTATCCAAAATTGTTTAAAAAGTTGCCTATAGTTGTACTTTAAAGGAGCACACCTCCATAACCAAATCTTGTATGCCTTTTTATAGTCCAGGGCACCTAAAATCTAAACCTCCAATTTAATTGATTGAAATCAAACCATTGACTGAGAACAAATACAGTACATAGTTTAGATGTTCAGAAACTATGGCTTTCCTAATCTGTAAACTTGTTGTAGGTCAGCAACTCACAAAGTACTGAAGACATTGGGCATGACAGCTAGGCAACTAACCTTTTCAGAAGGCGGCCAGTAATGGCATTCAGATTGCTATACAAAAAAAAACTGCACTGCACTTAGATCTGTGTGTTAACATGAGTTAAAAGCCAGATGTGAATAGAGATTGAGGGCCTATTCAGACTCTCCATTGTATTAATGTGTTGCCACTGCTCTGTGAACTGTGCTATGTCTGCCCATTTTATTTGTAATGTGCTGTCAATGCACCTCATTGCATGAAAAAAAACGTACCTGCTTCTTTTTTTTTCAGTACAGCACACCACAGCGCACAGATGTTTTACATCTGTGCATTTTGTGCACCAACATGAAACAATGATGTGGTATGCTGGGCATGTGTATTGGGGTGTTCCCAAAATAAACATGCAGTTTTGTGCATTATTGTACAATGTGGTAACTTAAACTCACAGATCTGATTATGCCAGATTTATGAAGCCTTGTTTGCAAATTTGGTGGGTTCATCTCACCAAAGCTTTTTTTCTCTTTTTTTTCTCTTTTTCCCAGAATAATAATAATTCAGATTAGCACTGCCCTATTAAGTATACATTGTGTGTAATATTCATTTTCATCACTAGATGTCATTTGTGAACAATGGAGATTGGAGACTAAAGTGGGGTCCAAACTATGAGAATATCGAAGAACAATTCTATACGAAGAATGATTGTTCCATTTTTGTATAGTGTGTACTCAACTTTTGATATCCGATTCAGACTTTCCAAACCAAAAATTTCCAAAGCGAAAGACTCTAAATTTTTCTTTTTGTACTTTAACAGAACTAATGATTTTCGTTTAACATGTACTGTTTTCATACAAGAAAAATTAGATATGAAAGACTGTGCATTAGCAGAAATAGTAAACAACAATAATCTACATTACAATGTTTCAACATCAAAGGAAAAAAAAGCCTTTTTCATTTCGAAATTGTTCATACAATTAGTACCGTCCTTGGTTTTGACATGATGTGAAACAGCGAGGAAAACTGGTTGATTTTTCATTCGATTTTGTTATAGTGTGTACCCAGCTTAGCATTTATCTATTTCCATTTTTGCTGCTACAATATAACTGATTTTAGAGGCCAGGCAAAACTCTGCTTCTGTCTTTATTCCCAGTTTAATTGCACATTTGATTTAAAGAAACCCTGTTAGCAGACCATTCATTTGAACAACAATCGTCCCATAAGATTATGTTTATTTAACATATTTTAGACTTGTCTGTCTTGATCATTTTAACATGGAGGAACCCTTGAAATAATTTTTTGGCTTCAGGGAACCTCTGGTAATAATTATTATATTTACAGCTCACAGTACTTTTAGTGTGAAGGTCAGAGGGAAGAATGCTCCTTACATGGTCATTGGGAATATTTCCTTGCTTACAGATAGCTAAAAAGATCATTGGAGTCAGCGGTTACTCATCTTAGACACAGAGATTGTTCATTGCTCAAGGAACCCCTTGCAACCTCTAGAGGAACCCTTGTTGAGAAACCCTGTTTTAGATGTTTTATTCACTTGCTAAAGTCTTCAGTTTGGCATTGCCATCTTGGTTGTGACGTCAACAGCCCAAGCTGACTCAAGTGAGTCAGTATTTTCCATTATTTTAGTATTTTCCATTGATCCTCCTTGGCTGTTACTTAAAAGGTTATGTAGGCTACTGAGGGGTGGGGCAAAGGCACATGGTTAGCACAGACAGCAATTAGACAGGGAGAGGGAAATGACGACCAAGGAGGGAAGGGACTGGGCTAAGGATTGACTCTTCATGAAGTTGTCAAATCTGCAATCAAGTTCAGATTCACATTGCAAATCAATACAAAAATCTTTTAGGGCCCATTCACACTGTTGCTTTACAGTATTGTTGTTGAAGAGTTTGCCTTGCTTCCCGTCAGGTAAACATTGTCATTAGGACAAATAGTGAGAGGAAATCCCCTAACGGAGCCCTGGATAACAGTAAAAACTGTCTAAATCTTGCCTACTTTATCTGAAACCAAGAAAAAAAAGTTTGGGCTTGGGCTGGACATACACTTTAAGTTGCCTATACAGTATATCTAATTATTGTGACATGCTTTTCACTGAAGATATCTCCTGTTTATGCATTTATATTATATTAGGTTTTAATTCTTCAGGTTTGTGAATGATTTATTTTAAAGGTTACTTGCCATGAAGAAGCATATGGGCTGCCACTAATATTTATTACAGGCATTTATATAGTGCTAATAATTTACACAGCAATTTACATACTAATCATTCACATTAGTCCCAGCCCTAAAGTCTAGGATCCCTACCAATTTAGACAGGAGCCAATTAACCTACTAGCATGACTTTGGCATGTGGGAGGGAACTAGAGTGCCCTGGGGAAATCTGCACATAGGGAACATGGAAACTCAGGTGCAGGTTGCGTAGTGTTCTGGTAAGCACCAAGGATCGCATTTTCTGCAAGGCACGATAACCACTGAGCCACTCTGTTACCCAGAGCATTTTCTTCTACAAAATATTGCTCATCTATTATGCTGATCCTCTGGATTCAAAATGTTGAGTCTTTGACCTAGGACAAGTATGCTAAGGACTTCTAACTTTTTTATGATTTTTTTTTTTTTATGTGTACTTGTTAAAGTCAGTATAAACTAAAGCCCTGTTCACAGATACTGCAGTGACCTGAGTTTTACATAGTTACATAGTTAGTCTGGCTGAAAAAAGACAAAAGTCCATCTAGTTCAACCATTAAAAATAAAAAGTTATAATCCTGTACCCACAGTTGATCCAGAGGAAGGCAAAAAAAACCATCAAAGCATAATCCAATTTGCTCCTGCAGGGAAAAAAAAATCCTTCTTGATCCCCTGAGAGGCAATCGGATATTCCCTGGATCAACTTTACCTATAAATGTTAGTATCCAACAGTTGAGGGAGTCTATTCCACATTTTCACAGCTCTTACTATGAAGAAACCTTTCTGTGTTTGGAGATTACATTTCTTACCACAATTCTGTGCACGTAAATGTATGTAAATGCACATCAGCTGAATACAGTGCAAATCCATGGAGGAAAAAAAAAACAAAACACTTTTTTTTGTATGTTGTCCCTTTTTGTCTAAGGACCCATATGGCAGCCAACTTATAGGGGAAGTAGAAAGTGTGCAGTGAAAAGCTACCTAGGGAGGAGCCTCAATGGTAGAGTTTATAGAAATAAATGATTGGAATCGTAAATCCTGGTATAATGCCCTAAACTGCCCTTTACTTTCACATTCTGTAAGCAATGAGTGCAACCAATTAGCTCTGTTTTTTCTCCTCATCTGCCTCCTCCTCCTCAATTTAGCTAGCCATCCCATTTGCCAATGCTTCTCCAAAACAAAAATTCGTCTCTCTCTACTGTTCTCCCTCACACCTTCTCTCAACCAACAAACAGGAAAATAATGTGACGTTAGAGGAAATACCCTGCATAGCAATTTAACATGCATAAGAACCTGTGTCAACATGCATTAAAATGCAAGCATTATTATGCATTTTAATGCATGGTTATGTGTGAACAGGCCCTAATTGGTCAACTAGCATTTTCAGAGAAAGTCAGCAAGCGCAGCCCCATATCTCCCTCTGGTGAGCTTTATTTTATATTATAACCTGTCTTTATAGTAATTGTGCTCCTTTCTTGAAATCAAGGTGAAATTTTGGGAGCTGGCATTGCTGAGAATACAGGCATGTTGGAGATGAATCTTAGCTGGAATCAGTTTCGTGGGAAGGAAGCTGTCGCCATCGCTAAAGGCTTGGGGGTAAGAATAATAAATGTTCATTCTAGAGGCATGTCAAAGTGGTTTCTGCTGTAAACTGAATGAGATGCTAGGTGTTCCCAATGTTACACTTCCATGTAAAATGTTGAAACTAAATGTTTTGTAAAATATTTCATGGATCCTTTTTCAGGGATAAAATATTGCATGTTACCATTATTCATATCATTACTCAAGCACTGTTTTTCTTGAATTTCATAGACCTGAAGTACACATATGGCCCCTAATAGATTCATTACAGCCCCCGTTTCCTTTGAGTTAGACATGCCTGATCTAGAGAATCCTGCATTCTAAATTAGTATTATAATAAAGCTAATGAGCCCTCTACTGACCTATACAGTGAGGCTGTGCAAAGACTGCATTTAAAGAGGTTATAAAGGATATTTTTTTTAATTAAAATAATAAACCTGTTGTGAAAAGGTCAATCAGTGTAGCTTAGGGTGTGGTTGCCATCATCCCTATTTTCATACAAAGAGAATTTTTACCTTATATTTTTGTGGGATTTTTAAGGCAAACTTGAAACATATACAAAGAAGTCACTTGTTAAAAATATCAACATTTTATTTTAGCAAAAAAATAATAAACCTGTTATACTCGCACAATACCAATGCACAGAGTGGCTCAGGACCACTTCTTGTGGGGTTCCCTGCCAGCGGTGCTAGGCTACCTTTCTTCTCTGTCCTGTTTTTACCCAGATATCATACAGCTAAAATACATTTTAGTCATTTCATAGGATGCCATCCTATAAGTCTCAGAATTTTTTGAATATTTATTCAAGGATCTGGAACATTTCCATTAGTAGGCTATACATTGAAATAACATTTGCCTACCAGTAGCATAGCATTTATCAGCCACTGTATTCTTTTAACCCATTATAATCTAGTACTTGCTTCATTGAGAAGACAGCATGTAGCTATAGAGAAAAAGGGTTTTATTTCTTTAACCACTTCAAGTCCGGACACTTTTACCCCCGTCCTGTCCAGGCCAATTTTCAGCTTTTAGTACTTCCACTCTTTGAATGACAATTGTGCGGTCATGCAACACTGTACCAATATGAATGTTTTTTAGCATTTTTTTGAGACAGATAAAACTTTATTTTGGTGGTATTTATTCACCACTGGGATTTTTATTTTTTTTTGCTATATAAATGAAAAAGTCCAAAAATTTAGAAAAAAGTGTTTTTCTTATAACATTTTGCAAATAAATAATATTTCTTCATAAATCTTGGCCAAAATTTATACGGCTATCTTTTTAGTAAAAAAAAAAACCCAAATTAGTTTATAAACAAAAATTATAATTTTTTCTAAATTGTTTTTTAAATTTTTTTTTTAGATTATTATTTATGATTTTTTTTTTAACATACTGTCACCCTAGCAGTACAGTGTCAACATAGTGACACTGTACTACTTCTGGGGGTGATGAAGATTTATTTTTTTTTTTCACTGATTGCTTTTACATCCATAAAGGCTGTAAAAGCAATAATTTTTCCTTCTCTCTGGCTGCATTCTTGCAGCCATTGAGAAATACTGTGAGAGCCGTGATTGGTCACAGCTTGTCACATGGTACAAGGCTGTTGTGAATAGCCTCGTACCATGATCATTCACAGATTTCAGTAGTAGTAGTAAGCAATGATCTCAGAAGTGACATCTTGCTTACTACTATTCATGTGATCACTGATTGGCCAATCAGTGATCACCATGATCGGGACCTCACACAGAGGACCCGTACAGCGATTTGTGATCCGGACACAGCGGGCGTTGGTCTCAGTGCAGAGCGTTCCCAGGGAGTGCACCAAGGCAATGGATGTGAGGGGATGTTTAGAAACGTCCACCCCGCATCAGCAGCGCTCCCGTCTGGCCGTTTAGCTAACTGGGCCGGATGGGACAGGGAGCACGCACAGCTTGAAAATGTGGGCGCCGTTTATGAACGGCAACCCGCTCCTGGACTGCTCCAGTCCAGCTGTTTATGTACATGGGCCAGACGGGAAGTGGTTAAATAGCATAGTAGCCATATAGAATAAGCACTTTATTTAAATGGTATGCTAGCCATAGTGAATAAGTACTGTATTTGTTTGAATGGCATACGTGATACTTTTTGGCTCTATAAATGACTAAAGTAAATAAATCCCCCAAAATATATGGGCTTTTAGCTTACACTGAATTAAGAAAGATTTATTTTCATGCTAGGGTAACAGTCATTATTCATTAACAGCATAGCTGGCAGACTATAATGATGTATTAGGTGGATTCCGAAAAAAAACTTCCCTTTGACTTTGCCACATTATTCTGTTAATAACAGTTTATATAATGGTAACATAACAAAGCCACTGGCTGTTTTTCCTTCTTTTTTTTTTTTTTTAACTAAGGTAGATTAAATGTATTTATCATCATTTGTGCCTGTAAGTATTTGCTTTAGAGCGATACTTAATATCTTTCCTTGTAGGTGGCTGGGACCTAATTTATGGCTCTTATATCTTGCTTGAAGCTGAAGAGCCAGATTTACTCTGCATTTGTAAATAAATATGAGCCATGTATATAATAGCACCAATAATAATGTTATACATATTAATCTGCAAATGATGTCAATCCATGAGGCATCTCATCAGTCCTAAATTTAATAAAGGTTTTCATGATACTTGATTCATGTTTGACCTGAGCGATTGTCAGTCTGGTACCACTTAAATGTAAGCTGTTATGATGCAAAATAATTGCATTAGAGGCCAACAATGAAACCCGCTACAACTACTGGGCTACAGGTGCTGTGGCAGTGACACAACTCAGTTATGCTTCTTTTCCACCTGGCTACCCTTCTTTCTCTCCTCTGAGCTACCCACTATCATCCTTGGAGACTTCGCCATCCCTATTAACATCAATAACCCGGCTACATCCCAACTCTTCCACTTAACCTCTTCTTTTGCATTTGCACAGTGTATACAGTCCACCACTCACTCCGACGGGAACACTCTAGACCTTGTCTTTTCTCATCTCTGCACTCCCTACAACCTCAAAAACACCCCCTTTCCTCTCCCTGATCACAACCTCCTCACCTTCTCCGTCTCCTCGTCCTCAAATACCTATCACTCCAAACATCAAACAATCACCAGCAGAAACCTCCGTAACTTGAACCCTGCTCCCTTCCAATCTGCAGCTGACCAACTTTACGACAGTATCCTTCCTCTGTCCTGCCCTGACCGGGCCTCTACTATCTACAACAACTCGCTGTCAGCCGCTCTTGACTCGCTTGCACCCCCAACAACATGAAGCATTAGGCCCTGACCGCTACAACCCTGGCAGACTGACCACACCAAAAATCTCAAACGATCTAGTCATGCGCTGGAGCGACTATGGCGTAAAACCAAATCCCAACAAGCGTTCACCCGATATAAATCTGCCTTCCTAACATACACTTCTTCCCTTCACGCTGCCAAACAAGCCTACTTTGTTACCCTCATTAATACCTTCTCCTCCAGTCCTCGTCGGCTCTTCTTTACTTTTAACTCTCTACTCTCTCCGCCCCCACCTTCACCCAGTACCTCACTCACCGCCCACGAGATTGCTGACCACTTCAAAAACAAGATTGACACAATTCGTAGGGTCATTGCCAATGCTCAGACTTCCACCCCACCTAGCATTCCTCACACTAAAACCCCCTCAACACTCCACTCCTTCGACCTCGCTACTACTGAAGAGGTCACTAAGGTCTTCTCAGAAACCCGCCTCACCACCTGCCCCCTGGACCCTATCCCCTCACAACTCCTACGATCCCTCACTCACATCTTTAACCTTTCCCTCTCTACTGGCACCTTCCCCTCCCCTCTAAAGCACGTGCACATCACTCCCATACTTAAAAAACCCTCCTGGATTCCACCGATTTGAACAACCTAAGACCCATCTCCCTGCTGCCATTTACATCTAAACTCCTAGAGCGCTAAGTCTATAATCGCCTGAGTTCCCACCTCACCGACAACAACCTCCTCGATCCCCTACAGTCTGGCTTCTGCCCCCTACACTCCTCCGAAACTGCCCTACTCAAACTCACCAATGACCTGCTAACCACCAAAACCAATGGCCACTATACAGTACTCCTACTCCTCGACCTCTCTGCGGCTTTTTCACACAGTTGACCACCCCCTCCTCCTCAAAAAACTACACTCTCTTGGCCACAGAGACTCCGCTCTCTGCTGGCTCTCCTCTTATCTATCACAGCGCTCCTTCAGTGTTACCTATAACGCTGCTGCTGCCACCTCCTCTCCACTCCCCCTCTCTGTTGGGGTCCCTCAAGGTTCTGTCCTCAGGACCCCTTCTCTTCTCCATCTACACCTCCTCCCTTGGTCACTTGATAAACTCGCACAGCTTCAATTACCATCTCTATGCTGATGACACACAAATCTATCTCTCTACCCCTCACCTCCCCCCTTCAGTCTCCGACCGTATCACAAGCCTACTAAGCGACATATCGGATTGGATGTCACTCCACTTCCTCAAACTAAATCTTTCCAAAACTGAGCTCCTAGTATTCCCCCCAGCTTGCGCCCCCCCCCCCCCGACTTCTCCATCAAGACCAACAACACTATCATCAGACCAACCCCTCAAGCCAGAGTACTAGGTGTCATCCTAGACTCCAATCTGTCCTTTCGGCCCCAGGTCCAATCGCTAACAAACTTCACCTCCGCAACATCTCCAAAATTAGGACCGTTCCTGACCTTGGAAACCACTAAGCAACTCATTCACTCCCTTATTATATCACGTCTCGACTACTGTAACTCCCTCCTCATTGGCCTACCTCACCGCAGGCTATCCCCACTTCAGTCTATGATGAATGCTGCTGCCAGACTCTTTCACCTTACTAACCGTTCCGTATCTGACACCCCCCTCAGCCAATCCCTCCACTGGCTTCCAGTTGCCCAATGGATAAAATTCAAAATGCTAACACTGACGTATAAAGCCATTCATAATACTGCCCCAAATTACATCACCAATCTTGTCTCCAAATATCACCCAAACTGTACTCTCCGCTCTTCACAAGACCTCCTACTCTCTAGCTCCCTTGTCTCCTCCTCCCATGCTCGTCTCCAGGACTTCTCCAGGGCTTCCCCAATCCTCTGGAATTCCCTACCCAAATCTATCAGACTATCACCTACTCTGCTCACCTTTAGGCGCACTCTGAAAACCTGTCTCTTCAGGGAAGCCTACCCCGCCCTCAGCTAATACTGAACTCCTCCACTCTTCCAACCACTCCATCCCCCACAGCTATTTCCTCCTGTACCACTATCCCCTCCCTCCTAGATTGTAAGCTCCAAGGAGCTGGGCCCTCAAACCCCTCTTGTATTGAATTGCATTGTTACTGTACTGTCTCGTGTACTGTCTCCCACCATAATGTAAAGTGCTGAGCAAACTGTCGACACTATATAAATCATGTATATTAATAATAATATTAATAATTGAGGGATATATACACATTTTATTTCTTCATAAATAAAATTATATTTTCCAATCAGTTTTATTTAAATTCCAATTTGCAAGGGCCCCAGCTAGTAAATGGGGAAGTGGAGGTTTTTGAAGATGTTTCTGTAATTAAGAGGGTAGACTATCAAGTTAACCTCTTACTTTCACCTGCAGGCACTGCTGAGTCCTTAACAACTAGTAACATCTCCACTTACATTCACTTACATGACTAGGAATCCTTGGCAATGTGAGAAAAGGGGTGGGGGTGGTGGTTATATCACTGGCCAAGTATAGCCACATCCTTAGGTTTATATGGGCATGGCCATATTTGGTCTAACTACAGCACCAGAGAGCTGTTATGTATGGCTTAAGCCGACAGATCAGTCTATGTGTTCTTTATTTTAGATGATTGGTGGGTGGTGTTCATCATGATTGATGTTGATTTTACAATGCTGGATTTTTTTTTTGGGGGGGGGGGGCTTTTTTGCTTTTCTTTAAAGTACTTGTCAAAAAAACCTTTGCTCTTTCAAATAGGGTGGGGGGGCAGTATCTGGGGGTTTCCCTTATCTTAAGGTGGCTACCTGATTTTGATAAGTTCCAGTTGCACCAACACAACCATTGGACCAAGGTTGTGAGCAAGAGGCCCTTATCCTCATCCTCTCCTCCACCATGTTTTTCCAATCCCTTGGCAATTTAGTCTTAAAAATTAGGAAAATTGATTTGACAGATTCAGCTTCCAGTGATTTCAATAGGGTTTGGATTTGGCATCCGAACTTTTGATATGTTTAGTAGAACCTATGCGAAGCAAACCCAGATGTGTTTGGCTCACCCCAAGTGGCTTTCACCTCATATGGGGAGATAAAGGTATGTACAGTTAAAATCTAGCCTTGTATAAACATGGGACACATTGCTGAAAAACTGACCCTAGGGTCTGGGCAGTCATATAGTTCACCATAGTATTTTGATTACAAGAGTATGGGAGTGGCACAATCTGTCACCCCAAAGCTTACATAAACACCAACAGTCTACTAAACAGTGCCTTTATTTTACATGAGGATAGCACCCTATGGAGAACAATAAGACTGAAACAGCCTTTCCAGCTTTTCAGAATAACATCCCCCTTTCAAGGACCCATGGCCAGCAGGTGTCTATTTAACCCCATAGACATGAAATTATTGCCCAATCACACCGGGCAACTGCCCATCCGCATTTTTTTTAATAAGAGTATTTGCATCTTTAATACTTGCATTTTCATTCACATACAGTAATAACGATACTCATTGGTTGTCTAACAGGCAAATATTTTCCTAAGAGTGCTGGATCTTTCATACAATGGATTTGGCAATGATGGTGCTACTGCTTTAGGAGAAGCTTTGAAGATTAATAATGTTTTAGAAGAGCTAAATATAAGGTAAACAATAAACGTAATATCTGTATGCATTTTGGGGTTATGCAGGTTTCCTGATCAGACCAAACTGAACTTTTTTAGGATGCCTTGTCTAAAGCATTGAATATACTGTATTAGGATAACCATGTGTTCATATCATGACAGCGGAAAACTGCATAGAATGTGTTCATATCATGACAGTGGAAAACTGCATAGAATGTGTTCATATAACAGCGGGAAAAACTGCATAGAATGTGTTCATATCAGGACAGCGGAAAACTGCATAGAATGTGTTCATATGACGGCGGAAAACTGCATAGAATGTGTTCATATCATGACAGCAGAAAACTGCATAGAATGTATTCATATCATGACAGCGGAAAACTGCATAAAATGTGTTCATATCATGACAGCGGAAAACTGCATAGAATGTGTTCATATCAGGACAACGGAAAAACTGCATAGAATGTGTTCATATCAGGACAACAGAAAACCTGCATAGAATGTGTTTCATGTCATGACAGCAGAAAACTGCATAGAATATGTTCATATAATGACAGCAGAAAACTGCATAGAATGTGTTCATATAATGACAGCAGAAAAACTGCATAGAATGTGTTCATATAATGACAGCGGAAAACTGCATGGAATGTGTTCATATCATGACAGCAGAAAACTGCATGGAATGTGTTCATATCATGACAGCAGAAAACTGCATAGAATGTGTTCATATCATGAGAGTGGAAAGCTGTATAAAATCTGTTCATATCATGACAGCGGAAAACTGCATAGAATATGTTCATATCATGACAGCAGAAAATGCATAGAATGTGTTCATATTGTGACAGCAGAAAACGGGATCGAATGTGTTCATATTGTGACAGCGAAAAACTGAATAGAATGTGTTCATATTATGACAGCGAAAAACTGCATAAAATGTGTTCATATCAGGACAGAGGAACACTGCATAGAATGTGTTCATATCATGACAGCAGAAAACTGCATAGAATGGGAGCTCTTGAATTTGTTAGGCCCCTTTCACATGGGGAAGACTCTGCCTGCTATCTGCTTGCTCAACAGGATCCCCACTGAACAGGCGGATGACAGGTCTGTGTCCGCTCTGCTTATGCAGAGTGGACACGGACACAGCCCACTCTCCTGTATGGGTGGTTGGATTTAAACGGACCGCTTATCCATTTACACCCAACTGCCATCTGATACAGCCAGCCGGAGGGGAATAGGTCTCCATCCATTTGTTTTTAGCGGATTGGATGTAGGCAGGTGTAAATGAGCACATCCGTTTACACCTGCCGCTCCTTAGAGGAGAATGAAGGTTCCGATGGGGTCTGCCTGAAAAATTAACAGGCAGACCTGATCGGAATGTTTGTGTGGAAGGGGCCTAAAGCTCTCAATAGAATTCAGGTAACAGTCATTTGTGCATACATTATCTCACACCCACTGATAACTTTTTTGGTCAGTTTTGCCCCTTAACCAGTGCAATATAGTCACATAAACACACCTATTGTGGATAATGGAATAAAAGATGTGCATACTGTCTGGGCAGTGGGGAAAGTAAAAAACAATTATTATGTTCCCCAGAAATGCGAGTTTAAATTATTCATGTGCTGCCCCACAGATGTGTCTTCATTGCCCAATACAGGCAAAAGAAGCCCAGTAGGAAAATGGTAGGCATCTTTAGTGCTCTTCTTCAAGGCAGACTACAATAAAAGAAAAATAAATGAAATGTAATTTACAAATAAGGTATTTTGAGCATAGGGGATTGTGGAAATTTTCTTAAATTCACGCATGGGAAAATGTTTGGTGAAATTTGGTCCAATTTACTTATTTACTAACATTTTACCAAGTTCTGCATGGCTTTTCTGTGTATCTTGTGTTTGCAGCAACAACCGTATTTCCTTACAAGGAGCCGTGCGTTTTGCATTGTGTCTTAAAGAAAACAAAACTTTGAAAGTACTAAAGGTAAGAAAAGTCTGTACATCATATATGGTGACAAACTGCATATTTATTTCTAATACCAACGACAATAAAGTTATCCATTTAACTTTCTGCTACTAAAAGTACTTTGCTTCTCACACTACTTCTCACAACTATATAGACAAATTTTGATGCAGACCTTAGGATTTAGATTTAGTTGAATATAACTGTGATATAAATGTACAGATTTGAGTAGCTGAAATGTGACCTGTAGCAATATGTAATCGTAAATTTAGTTCAGTCCTTATCATGAAAGAAATATTCAGTCATAGGCAGAGGCATATGGTCATCAATTAGCATCTGAAAAGAGACAGAGCTTCCTCAGGCTGGAAGTGGCACCTGGGCGCTAATAAGATTTTGTCACCTATATGTAATCAGACTTTGCCATCTTCCTGAAGCTTAAAAGAGAAACACAGACGTGTCGGCTTCATGACACCAGGGGGGCTCAGATCTGCCTAGGGAGCTCTAAAAGTATATACCTACATCAAAGGAGTATGTTTCATCCCTCATAAAAGCTAAAATATTAGTTGCAGAGAGATGAAAATACTTCCTTCTGATGGGGCACTCTGTAGGCTACATCGGCATATAAAAACTATATTTGTGGCCTATGTAGAATACCAGGAAAATGCAGGAAATGGTTATGTGGCACTGGAGTGCGATAGTGGAACAGTGATTAGTACTGTCGCGATCAGACTGATGCACTGGTGTCGGAAATTCAATCCCCGACTTGGTGATTCAAGCTGGTCTTGGTCCAATTGACTTTGGGCAGTTCAGCACCCAGAACAGCCTGTGGGCAGGCACAGGAAACACCCCCCCAGAGTCAATTGGCCAAGAACGAATGTACCGCCTACGTCCATATCCCCATAAATTGAGGACCCTGACATTGGGACATTGTGCTTCGTATGGAGCTAACGGATTACGGACTCTCTGATTTGCTCCAGTCGCAGGATAAATCTTGGTAAAAGTTCTATTCTGTTTTATTCCCTTTTATTTTATAGTGAATAGTCTGTGTGTCTTCTTGTATTTTTTTTGTATTTTCTGTAACTTTTTATACTTTGTACATATTTTTTTATGCACTGCCCACATTCGGGATATTAAATGTTAAAATTAATAAGTGACTTCTGGGTACTTAAGCAGGCTCATATCTCCAGAGAGATTAGATTGTATTGTATGTTAGTGCCTTTATATGCTCAGTCAAACTCATTGCCAATCTGTATGCAATTGCACTGCGTGTTGGCAGATTGCGTGCAGATTGTAAAGGTAACAGATCTGACAGACGGAGATCTGTGTGTGTGTGGTGTCCCAACAGACCGTTCTGCGGATAAACTGTTGCGTGATGGCAAGCTACCGTTTGTGGTGTGTTTGGTGTGCGGGTGTGTGGACAATGGAAGAGTGATTAACACCGGGGTTCTGGCTTGTAGGATAGCTGGAGGATCCTAGAAGGATGTGTGATTGCTAGGCTGCTCCTCAACCCTAGTTAGTGCATCAGATTGTATGTAAGATTTGTATCTGCCAGTGTGTGGTTGGTTGACTGGATTGGAGTGGAGTCTCCCTCCGGTGGTGGCCAAAGAGGTAGTGCGGGCTGTGAAAGTATATCACGGCCGGTCTTATATACGGTTTTATATATTCAAAGTTAAGTCCCCCTTATTCCCTCTTACCCCAAGTCACGGTCGCACATGCAAGCCTCAGTTAGCTAGTAGCTGTGGGCGTGGCGTGTGAGTGAAATCGCGACAATAACCACAATTTTTTTAACCCTATCTTTATATTCTTACTTTACTAAAGTTGGTGCACACAGAATCTAGTGCAGCTATGCATAGAAACCAATCAGCTTCCAGGTTTTATTGTCATTGCTTAATTGAACAAACTGAAGTTAGAAGCTGAATGGTTACCATGCACAGCTACACTAGATTCTGTGTGCACCTGTTTTAGTAAATCCCCCCCAAAGGCTTCTGTACCAGATTCATCACATTTTTTATATTTACTTAAAGTGTTACTAAACCCAGGACCCTGCATTCACTATATCTGGTCTCCTACAGTACACACAACATGGAAGTGCAATTATTTTTAGTAAATATAAACTGCTAAATACCTTTTCACATCAGCAGTTAGAACAGTCTTGTGACTTCTATCAGTATCCAGCCAAGCACTGGTTAAAGCTTGTAGGAGGAGTTTTCATTTTGCTCTAGGAGGATGCAGAACCCCTGAGCTCTGTCTGTACAACACGCTGATTGACCCTGTGCTGATCACATGCACTCTCCCAAGAAATAAAAAAAAAACACTCTAGCAATACACACCAAACTGAGCATGTGCAGAGTGACTCCACACAATATGTCTTATCAGGAGATAAGAGGGGGGGGGCACTGGAAGAAGGGGAGGATCAAAGAATTTAGGATCAAACATCCTTTTTACACAATGCAGAAGATTAACCCCTTAGGTTCCACAGTGAGTATAACAAGCGTGCTTTACTGCATACACAGACTGATTTTACTGTTGTGGGTTTAGTAACACTTTAATATAATTTGTTGATCAGAAGCCTTTGATAGTGATTGGACAGAGTATACAAATGATGACTCTATGGGGTTTATTTACTAAACCGGAGAGTGCAAAGTCAGGATCACTTTTGCATAGAAACCAATCAGCTTCTAACCTCAGCTTGTTCAATTAAACTTTGGCAATGAAACCTGGAAACTGATTGGTTTCTATGCAGAAGTGAGCCTGACTTTGCACTCTCCAGGTTTAGTAAATAAAAACCTATAGGTCTATTTCAAATGATTTGCAAGTGTAAATAGATACATTTTGTTTTAACTGAAGATGATACTAGAATATTTGTTATAACTGGTGTTTGCAGATGGCCAGAAATCCAATGCAGAGTGAAGGCTGCTTTGCCATTCTAAAGTCTATCCAAGCAAATTCAGAGTCAGCTGTAGAGTCATTGGATTTTTCTGTAAGTATGTCTGTCTGATTAATATAACATGCTGGAATCCATTGTGATCAGCACTGTGGGTGTTGTGATTTTCCAAGGTGCCCTAACATCATATGTTTAAACCATACACCAACCAATTTTACAGATAGCTTTGAATCCATTATAACATGCAGTCACTCTCAGGAGTGTTTGAAGTTTTTGTTTTAAAAACAAGTGCAAGAAAAGCTCATGAAAAATGCTTTCCAATGTATGTACATGTATGTTTTCACACTGGGGTGCTGTGCTTCAAAAAAAAGTCCTGCTTGCAGCATGTTTGTTCTATTAAAAAAAAAATGCCCTCTTCCCATTGAAATCAATGGAAAATGCCTCAAAAACACCTCAAAATGCACCCAGGAAGCATTTTTTGTGCAGTTTGTAAGTTACATGTCCTTTAAAAAAACACACCAATAGCAATGTAAAAACAAGGCAAAAACAAATTCATGGGCATAGGGGGTTCTGGAAGACCAAGTTTTATATAATCTTACTGCATTTCCAATAACTTGCTCTCAACCAGCACAGGTATGCCCCATTATTCCACTTAGATCACTTTGCACGTTCAAGTCCTCCTTGTATTGAGAGCACCAGTTTGACAGAGAAAGGTACCTGTTATAACCGGTAGCACAATGGGGAAATCCAGCTAATAACAGATGAATTTGGCTCACGTATAAAAGAGGCTGCTCTCAGTCAGGGCTCCTTTGTAAACTAGTCCTTCTGGGGCTGCAGCCAATCAAATGTAGTCACTGCTCGGATATTCTGACAGCCGTTGGAGCAGTGGCTGTCAGAACACAAGTGCCGAGAAGGTGGTATTATGTCATCCACTTTGTTTAGAGTGGATAAAGCAATCTATTGATTTCCTCCATCCAGCTCTCAGTGCTCGTCAAGGAAAAATCGTAATGTGCATAGCTAGCTTTGGTCTGTGTCTGAATAGACTGAGAGACTGATCAAGCGACTGCACAAACCAGTCCACCAAGGTGGCAGGGACTGAAGAAGTTTTGTCTAGCTAACAGCTGTGCAACAAATGGCAGCTGGATGGAAATTTTTTTTGTTGCTGTATCACATGTATTCATTCCACAGACTTTAGGCCTTTTATAAACAAGAAAGGAAAAAATTAGGAAAATAATTGTTAGCCTGGGTTTACATATATGCAATGCAGTTTGCAGTGCGATTTTGATTTGCCAGATACGGTGCAATATGTTCAAGCGGTGCAGGTGCAATTTTGATGCGAATTGTTAAAATGTATTAAGATGAAAATAGCACCCGCACTGCACTGAAAATCACACAGGACTCTTTTTAAAATCGCACTGCATATATGCGAATGGCCACAGTAGAAAACAATGGCTTTTCATATGACATGCGATTCAATGCGTTCTAAAACACAGCAGAAATCACATATATGTGTACCGAGGCTTAATCAACTTGGTGTAGAGGAAAGATGGGCATGGAAAAATGATTATCTAATGCGTGAGTAGAGACATACAAATGATCTATCTCTGCCATTGCAATGAAAGGAAGTAAAATTGGTAGCATTTATTGAGCATTAAAGGAGAAGTATAGCCAAAGCTATTTTGGCTATACTTCTCCTGTGGGTCACAAGAGTGCACTTAGCTTTGCACTTATTTTTTTACCTAGATTCAGCCTATAGCAGGCTAAAGCCCACTATAGGAATCCCACCAACAATGTCAGGATCTGCCCAGATGCTTAACCAGCAGCTGGCTCAGCCTCTCAGTGCACCGGTGGGAACCTGAGCCAGCCTCTCTGATTCCCTCCCCAGCCCAGAGCCCCAGTGAGCACTGGAGGGGCAGAGCACAGAGCTGACAGTCACCACTCTGTGTTCAACACAGACCCAAGAACTGAACAATCAGTGGTCTTTGATCTCTCAGTTCTAGGTGTAGTGTCGGTGGGGAGCAGCTGCAGCATTGGATTGATGCTTCAGCGACCTAAGTGAGTATAAATGTTTTTGTTTTTTTTTCATTCTGCACTTCTTCTGCTTCTTTTAAATCATGAAACAAAATTCATTTTTTATACCAAGTTTGTTTATTTTTAATTATGTTGTATATATGTACAGATGTATTTTAATTTTTATTTGTATGTGTTGTAGGATATTGTAGTAAATAAACAATTTGATGATTTGCACACTGTTGTGAAAACAACTATACTAAATTTGACAGTCAAACTTGGAGGGAATTCTGAAATGTTCAAAAGACGCTTCCCAAAGGTAAGCATTTATAAATGAGGCAGTCATCTACAAGCATTTGATATGAGTTTAAACTGTTCGGGCCACGAGTATGCAAATATGTGGCCTCTTGGCTGGTGGGCCTTGACCCCGAGAGGCCACATATTTGCGTACCCAAATGTAATGAAACCTGTGCTGAAAGGCAGCACCCTGCGTGCTCCTGACACAATTTCCGGTGCCTAACGGAAAGCTCCTGATCACTACTTGCGATTGGTAGCTTTCTGATCATGTGACCACTGTGACACTCAGCCAATCACAGTGGTCACATGATCATAAACCCTGCCTCCCGACATCAGAAATCCCTAAAAGGCCAGGAGTTATACAGTTATAACTCTCTTTTCTTTACCGAGATCTAAAACATACATGATAACTCCTTCTTTTTTTTTTACCCCGTAATCATTGTAGTAGCCCAGTGAGTTTCCCTTCTATACAGTAAATAATATATATATATATATATCTTTTGATATTGCACAACAAAAGAGTTCCTCCCTTGTTTATCCTCTCAAAATTCCATTCTCCTATGTTTATTGTTTAGGTAACAAAATAACACAATAGTCCACACTGCAGTTTCAAAAGCACACACTACAACTTCCTGCCAGAAGACAATGACCCCTGTATAAACAGATAGGTCAAACACTTGGTGGTTTTTTTTTTATTAAGAAGAATTATTTTTGCACTTTCAAAATTGTCTCTATTATAGATTTGTCCATTTTTCCAACATGTTTGTTTTTGATCTTTTTTTTTAGTTTTTACAGCATATTTATCTTTGATGGTGATATTCATATTATTTATGTTACATGTTCTCATAGCGCTGCACTTTATCATTTTACAAGTCTTTTGAGTTAATCTATCCAAACTCTTAGTGCTGGCAGCTTCTATTATGCCTTTTTACTTAAGCACACAGTTTTTCTTAATTTTGTTTGAGGCACTGCAGATTCATCTATCCACTCTGTTTTGTAAATGGACTGTGTGTATGGCCAGATTTACACTAACCTTAAAGCCTAACTCCAGGAATACTAGGACTTGTTTGTTTTGGGCCAAGCTAACATGAATTACATAGTTACATAGTTAGTCTGGCTGAAAAAAGACAAACGTCCATCCAGTTCAACCATAGAAATTAACTATTAATTGATGCAGCTGCTGTCAGCGCTGTGTAAAACTGTATGCATCAGTTACATTGTCCTTTTCTGCCTTGTTCTGCTGTACAAGGCTTCTTCTGATTGGCTGAGATGAAGAGGCAGACAGATGATGTCACACACTGTACCTTAGCCATTCAGAGGAAGCCTTGTATTCAGTCATAAAAATACAATGCTCCCAGTGAATAGCTGAGCAGTGCTCAGCCCAGCTTATATATGTTCCAGGAACAGGATAAAAGTCCCCATACCGCTGCTGGGACACAGGGCTGTATACTGCATTTAGCTGATTCTACATACAGTTCATACAACTCTGACAGCTGCATCAGTTCGGAAAGGAAATAATTCAACTGGGTCAGCTTGGTCCAAATAAACTATTTAAAGTCATAGTATTCTTGGAGCTATGCTATAAAGTGGACCTAAACTCTAACATGTCTATTTTACTAAACTTCTACAATACTATGAAACCCTCCCTGTCACTATCCAAATCCATATATTATGAAAGCTACAAACAGAACTCCAAATTTACATATGGGCCTTCAAATGACATTGGCTGTGCAGACCTCTGCTTTTGCCTCCCGAGAGATCAAGGGAATGTAGGCATTCCTGACATTACCCAATACTTTTTATCTGCCTATCTATGACATCATGCATGATGGTCAATGCTTGCTTCCTTTATAAATTGACGGATTGAAAAAATGTGGATTGCGCCCTTACATCTCAACGTTATTCTATGGCGCTCCTCTTTACTACTGTTGAATAAACACCTTCTTGTGCTGATGCTCTTCACTAAAAATATATGGAGAGGATGCAAACAGAAATAAAAACTGACATCAACCACCTCCCTAATGATCTTGTTTTTTTAAATTCTTTATTTCAGATTAGCTAAAACTTTAGGACCTTAAACCAGTTACAAGATAAACTTAGTGCAGATGTGTCACAATATAAGAACAGTAAATGGGCACATGTAGTCCAATCCTACAATGGGAGAGCTAACAGTACTTCATAAACAGAGTAGTAAAGAAGCATCTTTCCAGGTAATTTAGTCAGAGTACACCAAACACAGACATGGTTATGAATTGTGTCATGTTGTTATTGTGACCACCCTTAAGAGACCTCATCTCATATCTGGAAGGAGATATTTTCAGTTGTAAGGGGTTCATTTTCTCCACGTTCGTGACCCACATAGATGAGGATGGGGATTGTGTTTGTGCTCATCCACATCAAAGGGAAGCATGCTTTGACGATACTAAGAAGATGGTGTAAAATCAATCTACTGTAGATTTTCAGAGGGATGCATGAATTGTGAAGTAGATAAAAAGAAGGGTCCTCTGGGAGGGTGCGATCTGTGAATTATTGCAAAATCCTTCTGACGCCATTCCAGAACATTGACAATTTTGGCCAGGCCAGAAAACATGCAGCATATCTCCAGGTCCCTCTTGGAATCTCCTGCAATGATCTGAAACTGACAGAAAGCACTTATGAAGAACCACGGATGTGTGGTACCTGGTTAGAACTTTATAGTTTGTCTCTCGAACCCAGATGCTAATAGAAGATTTGAGAGAGAAATGGATAATTATCCTGCTCTGAGCAGGATCAAAGTAAAGATTCGGGCAGATTCCCATTTCTGAAGAAATGGTGTTTTTTTCGTCCTTGCAAGGATTGATAAGTATATACTAGGTCTGAGAGAGAGAGCAAGAGTGCCTGGCTGAGCCTGTGCCAGTGCAGAGGTTTTCAAATGTTGTTAGTGGACAGTTGAAGATGTGTGCATTTGGCAGAGTACCAAGAAGTGTCATAATTGCAAAGTCTTTCAAATGGCTAGGCCGTAAAGACCTGGAACTGCCGTTAATTCCTGCCACACTAACGAGTGGATTATCCAAGATGGAGTACAGTGGTGAGAATTTCAGAGATAAATCAGTGGAAGAAAAGATACGATCACGTTTCCTCAGTATTAGACTGATAGGTGGATGAGTTTTGAGGAAAGAAGGTAAAGTCGAGAAGCACCAAGAGGCTCTGTGCATGGGAACTGGCGATAAGGACTGTTCATTTCTAGGCCAAAGTTTAAGGTTACTGTGATGACACCTATTAATCATTCTCACCAGGTGTGTGACCTGGTAGTATCTATAGGCATCTGCAAGGTTAAAACCTCCATGAGTTTTGATTAAGGATAAGAGGCGACAGGGTAGCCTAGACAAAACTTGTAAAGAGGCCATGGACTTCCCTTAAAAAAAGAACATTAGAATAAAGATCGGGAGTGCCTGAAATAAGTACAAAAACTTTAGTAGAACCAACACTTTAATGATGTTTCTTCTCCTGAACCAGGAAAAACTCCTGAATGCCATCTTTGGAGCAATTTCTTCACAGCAGCCAGAAGACACAGGAAAGAGCTGAGAGTACATGTATCAAAAAAGGGGTATAAAAGTCCCTAAAAACTTCAATGCTGTGGTAATCCTTTTTTGACCTAAATTTGCATTGTAAGTGTTTTGTTTGGGTCAAAGACATGACTGCTCACATCACCTTGGTAATGACCTTTTTTGTGCAATACACTAATTCTGGACAGCATCAACTCTGCAATGTGTTGTATGGGTTGACATTTCCCTATATAATCTTTGTCATATGGTCTCGCTAATAGATTGAACATTACTATCGTTTTCTGAGGTTTAACACAAATACCACATTCAGAAAACCTCTTTTTTCAGCTGTCTACAAATTGGACGCTATACAAATGCATCTCAATATGCATCTCAATAAATTAGAATATCATAAAAAAGTAAATTTATTTCAGTAATGCAGTTCAAAAAGTAAAACTCATATATTATATAGAGTCATTACACACAGAGCGATATATTTCAATCATTTATTTCTTTTAATTTTGATTATTATAGCTTACAGCTAGTGAAAACCCAACATTCAGTATATAAGACCAATAAAAAAAAGGATTTTTGATACAGAAATGTTGGCTTAATGAAAAGTACCGTTAGGTCCATATATATTTGGACACAGGCACAATTTTAGTTTTTTTTTCAGGTATTTACCAAAACATTTTCAAGCTATAGTTATATAATGGATATGGGCTGAAAGTGCACACTCTCAGGTTTAATTTGAGGGTATGTACATCCAAGTTGGAGGAAGGGTTTAGAAACTACAGCTCTTAAGAGCAGCCATCCCCCCTTTTTAAGGGACCAAAAGTAATTGGACGATTGAATCAAAAGCTGTTTCATGGCCAGGTGTGGGTACTCCATTATTTTTTCATCAATTAAGCAGGTAAAAGGTCTGGAGTTGATTCTAAGTGTTGTATTTGCATTTGGAATCTATTGCTGGGAACATACACATCATGCGTTCAAAGGAGCTGTCCATGCAAGTGAAACAGGCTATTGTAAGGCTTCAAAAACGAAACATCCATCAGAAAGATAGCAGCAACATTAGGACATTCAACCAAATGCAGCAAAGTTGATTGGATGGTGCTGCACAGTACAGATGGACAATGATCCAAAACACACTGCAAAAGAAACTCAGGAGCTTTTGAAAGAAAAGAAGTGGAATATTCTTCAATGGCCGAGTCAGTCACCTGATCTCAACCCAATTGAGCATGCATTTCACTTGCTGAAGGCAAAACTAAAGGTAGAAAGTCTCACAAACAAAGAACTGAAGACAGCTGCAGTTAGAGCCTGTCAAAGCATCAGAAAGAAGGAAGCCCCGTCTTTGGTAATGTCCATTGGTTCCAGACTTCAGGCAGTCATTGCCAGTAAAGGATTCTCAACAAAATATTAAAAATGAACATTTTATTTATGATTTTATGATTATATTCATTTATCCAATTACTTTTGGTCCCTTAAAAAGGGGGGATGGCTGCTCTTAAGAGCTGTAATTCCTAAACCCTTCCTCCAACTTGGATGTACATACCCTCAAATTAAACCTGAGAGTGTGCACTTTCAGCCCATATCCATTATATAACTATAGCTTGAATATGTTTTGGTAAATACCTGTTAAAATCTAAAATTATGCCTGTGTCCAAATATATATGGACCTAACTGTATGTCTATGTACAGTATAGTATGCACTCAATACTTGGTCGGGGCTCCTTTTACATGAATTACTGCATCAATGAGGCATGGCATGGAGGCACTGACACAGCTGTAGTCCACTCCTTTTGAATCTCCTCCAAATTCTTGAATGGCCTTTGCCATTCAAGTTATCCCTGTTTCTTGTGCTTTTTCTACCACACTTTTTCCTTCCACTCAACTTTCCATTAATATGCTTGGATACAGCACTCTGTGAACAGCCAGCTTCTTTAGCAATAACCTTTTGTGACTTATCCTCCTTGTGAAGGGTGTCAATGACTGTCTTGTGGACAACTGTCAAGTTAGCAGTCTTCCCCATGATTGTATAACCTACTGAATGAGACTGAGAGGCCATTTAAAGGCTCAGGAAACCTTTACAGGTGTTGTGAGTTAATTAGCTGATTAGAGTGTGACACCATGAATCTACAATATTAAACTTTTTCACAATCTTGTAATTTTCTGAGATACTGAGTTTTGGATTTTCACTAGCTGTAAGCCATAATCATCAAAATTAAAAGAAATACATGCTTGAAATATATCACTCTGTGTGCAATGAATCTACATAATATATGAGTTTCAGTTTCTGAATTGAATTACTGAAATAAATTAACTTTTTGATGATATTCTAATTGATTGAGATGCACCTGAACACAGTCACTCACCAGACACTTGTATTTTCAGCACTCAGTCAGTTTGAGGGAAAGAAAGGCCCTGCCATGCCGGCACTGATCTTCAATATAAACAGTACTGTGCAAAGGTTTTAAGAAGGTGTGAAGAAATGCTTTAAAGCAAAAATGCATTCATTATTATATATTTTAATTGTTTAATTTTATCAGTTTACAAAATGCAAAGTAAGCCAACAGAAGAAAAATCTAAATCAAATCAATATTTGGTGTGACCACCCTTTGGCTTTAAACCAGCATCAATTCTTATGCTTGCACACTTGCACAAATTCAGGGATTTTGTAGGACTGGATGTATGAATAAAGTGAAAGTAAAGGGAAATCCTAGCTAACTTTAAATCTACTTTCAGTTGCATTCTAAGCCTAATCTATCTAGCCCTGTATAGAAAAAAATCACTTTACTTACCTGTTCTGTAGCTGCTCCGGTCCGGTCTCCGGTGGCACCCTCTGTGTGTTGGAGACAGCCGACAACAGCTGGGAAATGCCTGGGAACAACCTACCTGCTGAGTTCCTTCAAAAACTGTATGCAAGTGTACCTAGAAGAATTGATACTGTTTTGAAGGCAAAGGGTAGTCACACTAAATACTGATCTGATTTGGATTTCTATTAACACTCCTATTTATAAAACCTTTCCTAATTTACAGCATTTTTTCACAACTGCCTAAAACATTTGTACGGCACTGTAAAAAATGCTTAAAGCGGAGTTTCAATTGAAAAAAATAAAAATAAAAGTCGGCAGCTACAAAAACTGTAGCTGCTGACTTTTTAAATACAGCCACTTACCTACCCTTTGGTCCAGCGGTGTTTTCACCACGGCTGGTTTCACTGGCCGTCTTCTCTCCCCAGCTCAGGCATCTCCAATGTGGGCACCCGGCTGTGACAGCTTGCGGCTTCACAGACGGGTGCCCACTGCTCATGCTCGAGAAGCACTGCACTTTGTGAATGGCCCCGTAGTCTTCTGGGACCTGTCATGTGTCTCAGAAGACTACTGGGAGGGAGGGGGGAGGACAACTTCCACTTCCGATCACCATAGGCGATCGCAGCGGAAGTAGGAATGGGTACCTGCCAAATTCGGGTACCCGCCCCCCCACTCCCCAAAGGTGCCAATCCTCAATGGGGAGCAGGGGAACAAAGGCTTAAAGCAGAACTTCCCCTTTTGGGTGGAGCTCCGCTTTAATGACATGGACCTTGCAGATGCCTTTAAGCACAGGTGCATGAAAAGTGGGATGACATTCTACGCAGACAGTTGCTGCAAGAAGCCTGAAGACTATCCAAGAACAAGCCAACCAAAACTCAATCAGCACTAAATACAAGGAAGAAGCATACAATGTCCTCTTTCAGTGATACTATACCCCAGATATGGTAAGCCATATTCCTCCAGCCTTCCAGAAACGTGCTATTTAGAACACATAGAGGAACTTTGTCACTGCCTCTAAATTACGCTCACCCACATCTATGCTGTACAACTACAAACAGTATAGTTACAATATGTGTACCACTATTGGACCAATAAAAACCTTGCCACGTTTCGTGGATTGTCCACTTTTTCAGAAGGATTGTTGAGGGGGAATCCACTCTTAAACTGTACCGGTCTGTGGGTATGCTAAACACAGAGGGGACCTGAGAAGCTATATGGTAAGTGTAACCTCGCATCCAGTGGCAGAGCTGAGATGGATGACGTACTAGAGAACCATAATGGCATTATTGTATACATACAATGTGAAGCAAGGAGCTCCCAGAAACTATTCATCAAAGCAAAGGATAAATTAAACGATCGACCATCAAGTAACTAGTAATATGTCAGGAGATCCTTAAAGATTATAATATACCATGGATAGGCTATATGTATAAGGCAGCAATGGAATCATGTTCCTGATATACAATATGGTCAGGCTTCACAATAGCAAGTGTTCAATGTGTGATCACGTCCGCACAAGTATCCATCAATAATCTTATCCTCTGGTGCACAGAGCTTGTGGTTCCTTTGGTTCCTTGGATTGGTTCCTTTTTTCTGTTTAAAATATATACAAAGGATGTGGTACATTTCATTGTAGTTTTTTTGGGGCTGTCAACTAGAAATCAGGAATTCCCAGGACATCTTTCTAGTTCATTCACCAGTAAACTATTAAAATTCTGCTGCATATTCAGTAAGTGATTACATCAACTGCTGAAAGTACTTAAAAACTGAGGGTTTAGTATTAGTCTAAGTGCATACAGGCAATGCACAGAAGTGGGAAAAACATTTCATGTGTTAGTCTAAAACATTCAGCACCCAGGGGTACTATACAAATGAGCAGGGACCAGTGCATTAGAGCCAACAGACAGTGTGGGTTGTGCTTATGTCAATGAAACACAAAGCAAAGTGACTGGGCTGGCTCAGCACTTGTGTGTTTCAGCTCAATAGACCTTTACAACACCAAAATGTGGATTTTTACAAGCTATTAAACTTTTCTTTCCTACAATATCTTCTTTACAGAGATTTGCCACAGTGACAGAACACATATTGAATTTGTTCAGTCCTTTCTTAATCTACATTGCATTTACATGGTGACTTTGTATTTTGAATTCTAAAAGCTTCTGTTTAATGCTGTGCACAGTGGAGCATAGATAATATACTCAAATCACTTGTAAATTGGCCATGTTTGTAAAGGTTTCAGCCTTTAATACCGAATTTATCAAAGGAAGCACTTCCTTTGTTTTCAGCAACTGATAGATGGCATAGCTATATATGCCGTACTCATTGCTTTTCACAAAGAGACATGCTTCACACATATTGATATAGAAAGGTTAGGGCACATGGAGGTTAAGGTTAACTTTAAAAGCTTTAAAAAACTAAAGCAAAGAGCAGGAAACAATACACGTTGAATGTACATTCTGTTTTCTTGGGTAACACTATGAATGGACAACTAAAAAACTAGTGTCTCAAATTGACAGAGCGAAATAACTTTTTTTTTGCAGAACAGACATACACTGTATTGCCAAAAGTATTGGGACACCTCTCAAAATCATTGAATTCAGGTGTTCCAATCACCTCCATGGCAACAGGTGTATAAAATCAAGTACCTGGGCATGCAGACTGCTTCTACAAACATTTGTGAAGGAATGGATCGCTCTAAGGAGCTCAGTGAATTCAAGCCTGGTACCGTGATAGGTTGCCACCTGTGCAATAAGTCCATCCATGAAATTTTCTTTGCTACTAAAGAGTGACGAATCACGCTTCTCTGTCTTACAATCCGATGGACATGTCTGGGTTTGACGGTTCCCAGGAGAATGGTACTTGCCTGACTGCATTGTGCCAAGTGTAAATTTTGGTGGAGGGGGGATTATGATGTGGGATTGTTTTTCAGGGGTTAGGCTTGGCCCCTTAGTTCCAGTGTAGGGAACTCTTAAGGCGTCAGCATACCAAGACATTTTGGAGACATTTTGGACGATTTCATGCTCCCAACTTTGTGGGAACAGTTTGGAGATGGCCCCTTCAAGCTGTTTTAGCTGCAAAAGGTGGGCCAACTCAATATTGAACCCTATGAACTAAGACTCGGATACCATTAATGTTCAAGTGCATGCAAAGGCAGGTGTCCCGATACTTTTGGCAATATAGTGTACCTTGACTTTGCAAAAGATACACACTTCTACCAAAAACTCTAATTTCCTGTGGATTTGTTATCCACAATGTGAGTAATATTATGCTACTGCTTACATCCTTTGTCTCTATCTCTTTGGAATTATAGGCATGTTTGGATTTTTTTCCCATTGGACACACTGCTAATTTAATTAAAGGAACACTTTTTAAAGCCCAACTGAACCCTAGTATAAAAGTGTGACAATAGCTTCCTTGTGCAGATAATAGTGACCAGAGTCTTACCACTAACCCTAGGTTCACATCTGTGCAGGTGGTGCCGCTGCGGATCTGCACGAAAATTCGTGCAGCCGCACCACCCGCACAGAGAATTGCGGAGCAGCGAGCGGGTGCCATTAGTTCTAATGGCACGCCACCCGCACTGGGAAATGTAACTGTACTGGGAACCAAGGTTCCTGTGTGGGCTGCATTTTCAAAAGAAGTGCAGGGACTTCTTTCCCTACGTGTCACGGGCATAGGAGTCCATTCAAGTGAATGGGCTCTCGTGCCCGAGCAAAATGCAGCCCACATGGCCGCATAGGTGTGAACCGGGGGGTCACTTAGGTAGTAAAGCAGCCCACAGACATAGTCCTCCTCCATTGTTCAGCAAAGCCAGACCACTGTGATTTATATGTAAGTAGCGGCCCTGTAATTTATATGTAAGGAGCAGTCTGACATCCCCTGTGAGTCAGAGCTGGGGCCTTCCACTCACTTAAGATTCCCCAAAGATAAGGCTGGTGTTGGATGTCTTCAAGGTACATAAACATAATATATTGATCGTTTTCACAAATTATAGTTTGTTGGTCTGATCTTACAAATACCATCTCATGTCTATGGCTACCTTAAAGTGGAAGTAAACCCATCAATTTTACTCTTTCTTAAAATAGTTACATTCAAGGCAAGCTCTCTAACTGAACTGCCAAGCCATCACATGGCTGGTATCATAACTGATCACGTGTGTACCACAATGCCAACTGCAAATCAAACAGAGGCTAAGATGGCAGTTTCCTTTGTTTTAAAGGATATGAGGGTTTAGTTCCACTTTAAGACTAAATACTAAAAGAAACACCAAAAGGGAAAACAACAGTCTGTTTTCAGCTCCTCTCTATGTGTTATTCTTGTATATTGCTCTGTAATTTATGATCTGTATTCTATCCATCAGGCAGATCAAATTCAAAAAGTTAAACAATATGCAAAGGAGAACAACCTGCGGCTGTCTAATTATTCAGTCAAACTGATGAACAGGTTGATATGCCTCTTGAAGACTTTAAACAGACATTAACAGTAAGTTCTTTTATATATTTATCTCTTATAGATTAATTGAGGAAATTTTTTTTTACAAAAACAAAATTGGGGAATGTTTTGCACTGAAATTAAATATTGTTCAGAATGTCTCTGTTAGGCCGGGTTTTTTAGTAACACACACTTTACTTTAATAATAGTCTATATTTACAAGTTAATTAAAAACATAAAAGTGTTACCTAAAAAGAGACAATGGGGTTGATTTACTAAAGGCAAATATACTGTGCACTGCAAGTGCAGTTGCTCCAGAGCTTAGTAAAAGAGAGAACGCTTCACTTTGCAAAGAATATCCAATCACATGCAAGTAAAAAAAAACAGCATTTTTGCTTGCACATGATTGGATGATAGAAATCAGCAGAGTTCCCCCTCATTTCAGAGCTTTCCCCTCAGATCTGGAGCAACTGCACTTGCAGTGCACATAGTATTTGCCTTTAGTAAATCAACCCCATGTTCTCTCAATTTCCTCTCAGGAACATCCTCCCGGTAAGGTGTAGTGGTACTCAGTCAGCAGACTGCATTTGGCTTGGTACTCGTTTTTAATGTTTGAAATGTCTTGGAGAAATCATTTACTGTGATCATTACTGACTGGGATTGCTTGGGAAAGAATCCAAGAAATGAACCTATAGTGACAGTACTTGCCATAGCATTGTACAAGTTCAGGAGAACAAGCACAGTTTTTTTTTCTGCTTTTTGATTTCCCAAAAAGTTTTAATAGATGTTTTTGAATAATTATCATAAAACGTTTCAATGTCACATGAATTCAAATTTGCCTTCTGATCAATTCCCGTGTCTAAAGACCTACTAAAATACATCCATCAATACGACAGAGTTTTTCAAGACCAAGTTTGCTTTGCAAAGGAGAAGGGCAATTTTTTCAAGACTGATAAATGGATTAACACACTGGGGTTGGTTTAATAAAACTGGAGAAAACACAATCTGGTGCAGCTGTACGTGGTAGCAGACCAGCTTCTAACTTCAGCTTGTTCAATTAAGCTTTAACAATAACACCCTGGTTGCACTGGGTGTGACTTGGCATGCGATTTGCATGCCATGCGACTTGCAAATCATATGCCAAGTCACACCTTATTGTCCGCAATTACAGCGGTCAAATCAGTGCATTTCCTACTTGTTCGTAGCCTCACCGATTTCTAAAGTAGTACATGCACTACTTTTCATTTAATTTTCATTCGCATATGTCCCCGACTTTGAAATTGTGCAACTTCACATCGGGCTTGATGTGACAGGGGTGTAAAACCTGGAAGCTGATTGGTTTCTATGCAGAGTTGCATCAGATTTTTCACTCTCCAATTCTAGTAAATCAACACCATTATTTTTCTTACTTTTGATATTCTGTTTGCCTGGGTCTATGCCCCTCATTTTGAGACATATTTGAGGTGTACTGTGTGGAGAAGACATCTAAATACAAATTTTGATTAATGGCTATTAAAAGCATAAAAGCCTAAACATATACTGATACACTTTTCAAACCTTATATCTGATTAAAAAAATTTAGTGAATTCCAATCCATTCTCCAAAAAAAAGCCCCAAAAACCAAGCAGTACCATGAATGAAGTGTGTCCCGTGTGCTGCAAGCTGCTGTATTAGGTTGAGATCTGAAGTCCTCTGCCCCGGATACCCCAGCAACGGTGATCTTCTGGTGCTGTGAGGGTTAATATGATAGTGACTACAGTTGTGAAAGGCACTTATCAAGTGTCTGCCTGCTGTTTTCCCTCCCGTACTCCATTTATAGACGTCTTAGTATGGGTTCCCACATTGAAATGGGCTCTATGAATTTAGGAATGAAAGTTTTGCCTCCTCCATTCAGTAAGTGCTTTTCATTGTGGAAACCAATAGTACAACTTCTGTCAACAGAGCACAGGGACGGAATGAACGGGCAAAGTCCGCACTTGACAAGTGCCTGTCACATCTGCAACCCGTTATATCAACCCCCTCAGCACCAAAAGATCATCGCTGTGGGGGTATCTAGGGGCAGAGGTCTTTGAATTTTAACCAAATACAGCAGCCACCAGCACAAGGGACATCTTTCATTTATGGTAAGTACTATCACTGGTGCTGTTTTAAAAATAAATTTCACTAAACTTCAGCTTTAATATATTTGGTAGCGTTAAAACTCAACTGTTTACATCCAGGGAAAGTGGAAGTACTAGTCGCTTCCTGGATGCTATAACACAGAGCTGATTGGGGACCTTCTGGCCCTCGTAAAGCTCTATGGTAAGCCAAAGGAACCACCGACTTCAGTCTGGGTTCTCCAGTGGGACGAAGAGCCTGGAGAGGTACCAGCAGGGGGACGAGCTCTCCTGCCACCTGTAAAATCAATCCTAATTATCAGCTAAGATGCCTTTTACAAAAAAGTGGATTGCCTACAGAAAAAAACAATACCGGGAAGATGCTGTAGCTGCATGGGTTGCTAAATCTAAGCAGTTGAGCCACGGTTTTACTAACTGCCTGCCTGAACAGAACAGCCACTCATATTCCAGGCTGTGCTTTGAGACTGCTGCAAAATGTAAACAGCATGTCGCTTTAGGCAGGCGTGTCACCACCAAATGAGACTGATGCAGTTCTATGAAGCTGCACCAAGACCGCACCACAACTACGATATAGCATCCTCCCCACCTCCTGTCAACCAACTCTGAAAAGAGATCCAAGCATGGATTGCTTTTCAAAGGGGAGGCAATGCCTGCCACACTTTCCTTATTGAGAACAGGTTTTGATATATAGATGTATAAATACATGAGATCCTAACGCACAAAGCTGTCCACCATACTGCCCCGAACTACATGACCTAATATCCAAGTACCGCCCAGCACGCACACTCACTCCTTCTCTCTAGTTCCCTGGTCTCCTCCTCCCATGCCCGCCTCCAGGACTTCTCCAGGGTGTCACCCATCCTCTGGAACTCCCTGCCCCAACCCATCAGATTATCACCTACTCTCCTCTCCTTTAGGCGCACCCTGAAAACCCATCTCTTCAGGGAAGCCTACCCCACCCCCTGCTAACTTGCCGACCTCCTCCACTCTTCCTACCTACCACCATCCCCCACAGCTATCTCCTCCTGTGCCACCATCCCCTCCCTCCTAGATTGTAAGCTCGAAAGAGCAGGGCCCTCAATCCCCTCATGTTTTGCATTGTATTGGTATTGTTCTGTCACATGTTCTGTCCCCCTCTGTAATGTACAGACAGCGCTGAGCGAACTATTGGCGCTTTAAAATACTGTATATTAATAATAATAATAATAGCTTACAAATAGTCACTGAATATGCAGCATTCATTCACTCTGTGTTCATGGCCTAGCACCTCCATAACCAGACATCTTTAGGGCTCTTGCACACTATGTATAATTAATTCCAGTGTATTGTCCCTCTCTGCTCAGGAAGCCCAGATGCTGCCCATAGACATGGAATGGCTGCATGGCTGTAAAATTAAATTTGTATGCTATAGGAGTATTTTTGTGGGTGCTGGTGTATATCCAAGTACAGCTGTGCAAAGCCATTTATGTCTGGTGGGTGGCTGTACGCAACACTTGTGCTTCCCAGGCAAGATAAATACACCGAAATTTGCATTACAAGGGCTCAGGCACCCATGTGCAAGAGCACCACAAAACTTTTTTCTCTGATGCCACCAAGTTTAAAGTCTTGGTATGACTAATATGGGGGAACACTCTCTTTCCTTCCAAACTGCAGTGCTTGGTGTGTGGGGAAAGAGGAGGATCATGTTTAGTAGATTCAAGAATCTAGGGCAAGCCGGTGCCTTAGTGGTGATGCAGCACGAAACCAGGGAATATTCATTGGTGCTATTAGTGAGTCAAGGTACCTCCACGGAGTTATTCATACACATTTATTTTGAGTAAAACTTTCTATATCTTTGTTAAGGATCATCAAGTAATTAGACATATCTCCAGATAACCTTCTCTGAATATATTAAAACAAAGTTGGCAGAAACAGGGAGCAGCAATACTGTCAAGTTACAGAAGATGGCAGCAAACATTTCTATCTCTAGAAACTGTGCTGAGAATGTTACATGTTCAGGCTTCAAAAACTATTGAAAGCAGCACAGGAGTCATCATTTCAATTATATATTTCATTTTATAATAATAACTATCGTAATGTTAATATATTTATGTGTTTGTATGTGCAGCTTTTGATTTTGCATTTTAAAATGCAGGTTGCTGGTATTATAATGCCAAAAGAAGAAATACAACAACTAATAGACTTTCTGGACAAGGACAAAACAGGCTTTGTTGATTTCAGGTAACATTACTAGCCAGAAATTAAAAATCACAAGCAGTAATTTTCCAAATGGACTAAACAGAGCAAATGAAAAGTAAAAAGTTTGTAGCTGGTTTACATGTTGTCTTGAACTGTGGCCTTTAACTATTTGCACCAAACAAGGTCCAGCAGCTCCAGAGATCAATGAAGTCACCACCTTGTGTCTCATTATTACTTAAAAAATGGAATGTATATCCTAAAGTAAACCACAAATCCAGACAATTCAGACTATGATGATGAAAAGCTAGACAAACAAAGCCTACCTTAAGGCCAGGACCGGATCTAGGGGGTGCCAGGGTGGGCCCCCAGATTCTGGTCATACAATTCTAAATTACTAAACATACACTATATTGCCAAAAGTATTGGGACACCCCTCCAAATCATTGGATTCAGGTGTTCCAATCACCTCCATGACCACAGGGGTATGAAATCAAGCACCTAGGCATGCAGACTGCTTCTACAAACATTTGTGACAGAATGGGTCACTCTCAGGAGCTCGGTGAATTAAAGCGTTGTACTATGATAGGTTGCCCACTGTGCAATAAGTCCATCCGTGAAATTTCCTTGCTACTAAATATTCCACGGTCAACTGTTAGTGGTATTGTATTAAAGTGGAAGAGATTGGGAATAACAGCAACTCAGCCAGCCATGAAGTGGTAGGCCACGTAAAATGACAGAGTAGGGTCAGCACATGCTGAAGCGCAGAAGCCACCAGCTGTCTGCAGAGTCAATAGCTAAGACCTCCAAGCTTCATGTGGCCTTCGTGTAGCTTCATGGAATGGGTTTCCATGGCTGAGCAGCTGCACCCAAGCCTTACATCACCAAATGCAATGCAAAGCATTGTATGTAGTGGTGTAAAGCACGCCACAACTGGACTCTAGAGCTGTGGAGACGTGTTCTCTGGAGCAATTAATCACGCTTCTCTATCTGGCAATCCAATGGACGTGTCTGGGTTTGGGGTTTGCCAGGAGAACAGTAGGTGCCTGACTGCATTGTGCCAAGTGTAAAGTTTGGTGGAGGGGGGATTATGGTGTAGGGGTTGTTTTTCAGGGGTTGGGCTTGGCCCCTTAGTTCCAGTGAAGGCAACTCTTAAGGAGTCTGCATACCAAGACATTTTGGACAATTTCATGCTCCCAACTTTGTGGGAACAGTTTGGGGATGGCCCCTTCCTGTTCCAACATGACTGCGCACCAGTGTACAAAGCAAGGTCCATAAAGACATGGATGAGCAAATTGGGCTGGAGGATTTTGTCCTGACATCAACCCGATAGAACACTTTTGGGAGGAATTAGACCGGAGACTGTGAGCCTTCTTGTCCGATATCAATGCCTGACCTCACAAATGCGCTTCTGGAAGAATGGTCAAACATTCCCATAGACACACTCCTAAACCTTGTGGACAGCCTTCCCAGAAGAGTTGAAGATGTTATAGCTGCAAAGGGTGGGACAACTCAATATTGAACTCTATGGACTAAGACTGGGATGCCATTATAGTTAATGTGTGTGTAAAGGCAGGCGTCCCAATAGTATTGGCAATATAGTGTATATGCAGCTATCAACTTATATGGCAAATGTTGAATTTGGCTCCTCCCACCCTCTAAGCCGTCTTATTGGTTTTTAATAGGGTAGGAAGCTGTTATGTCCAGTAGGGAAGATGGGTGAAGGTGGTGGTTGTTGGGGGTAAGGTCTGTTTTCAGTGGAAAAGTCAAGACTTCATTGCTCATTTTTTTTTTTTTTAAGCATATTTGAATTTCCAACATTTTTAGCATGTTTAAAAAAAATTTAAGAGTTCTATTTAGACAAATAAAATATATTAGAATTTTTATTGCGCAATGGTATGCTATGTGGTGTGCCTTTCCACTTAATACTATTATATAATTACTTCCAGCATTACATTATGATATACTGTATGTTATTACACAACTGATTCTCTCTTTTTTCTTTTTGTTTTCAGTGCTTTTCAGAAAGCCCTGTCTTCTTGATCTGGAAATACAGGGACATTTAAATATTAATTATTATAAGTCTCACCTTGTTACAATATGTATATTTTAAAAATATTATGTTGTCACCATGGATTTTACTAATTCATTTGTTACTGTAGAACAGAACACTAAATAATACATAGACTTAATGTTAATTATTTTGTTTTGAAATAGCATCTTCCCCTCTTCCCTATAAAAGAAATGTAAATTAACGTTCAAGATGTGCAATCCAGAACTGTCAAATATTTTAAAACTGCCATATCACATTCACCCTAGCTAAAAAAAACAAAACATAAAGCGCTATAGTTCTGGAAATTAATAACATCTACATCAAGCTCTGCTTTAATGTACAGCAAATCACAGTTATTGACTAAAAATAATACTTGCCAGGTCTATGGAAAGTGTAATCCATTGAGGATAATATACAGTACCTTGTGATTAGCTATCATCAGCACAAGCAGCCCTAGGGATATACATCTTGGAATAATGTACCATATGCTATAAAATATAAAGATATGGCAAACCACTGTAAAATGTTGTGGTCTTGTACAAGCACAAACCGGCAATTCTTGTCCTTGTAAAGGCTAACTTTGCTCAAAATGGATAGATTTATAATGCTGCTGGCAAACTAAAGCATAGGCTTGCTTTTTAGATCCTATTAATTTTGGGTGGAGCTGGCCTTTATAGGAAAGCTGTGATGAAAAATAATGGAAGATTCCATTGCTAACTTTAAAATGCTTGCTGCCTGGCAGACAAGTAGAAACGCTATCTTTAATGTTTACAGTTACTGACCTGGGACAAGCAAAAAGATAAGGACCAATGCCTTTTTTCATCTTTCCAGATACGCATTCTCCTTCTCTGGGTTAGTGGCACAAAGTTTTGGTGCCAATGGAGTTGATTTACTTAAGGCAAATATGCTGTTCAGCTTGCAAGGAAAATTTCCACAGAGCTTAGTGAATGTGGTGAAATTTAGTTTTGCAAAGAATACCCAATCACATGCAAGGAAAACAAAAAAAGCATTTGTGCTTGCACATGATTGGATGATGGAAGTCCACAGAATTTCACCACATTCACTGAGCTCTGGGGAAAATTCCCTTGCAAAGTGAACAGTCCATTTGCATTTAGTAAGGGCCCTTTCACACTGATCAGTTTTTGACGTGCTTTTAGTGTTTAAAAAAGCGCACCAAAAATGCACCTCCCCACTGAAATGAATGGAAAATGTCTAAAAAACGTGCCTTCCCTCTGGACCAACTGTGGGTGTCGGATTACAACTTTTTTTTTTTTTTAATGGTTAAACTGGATGGACTTTTGTATTTTTTTTTCAGCCAGACTAACTATGTAACTAAGTTGCATTTTTGGTGCACTTTTTGAGTCACGTGTCCACAGGTGCATGATTGGAGTCAGCCAACCAGAAATTGCATCAAAAATGCACCATAAATCCATAAAAAAACACATGGGGCTGGGTTGCTTGACTGTGCCAGGGCAGGCAGCATTATTTAAGTAAGATTTTATTAAACAATGTACCACATAGTACAAACATTTGGAGTACAGACCCCATTGACAGTGAGAAGTACACCATTGATGAGATATACATATTGCAGAATATCAGTGGGTATATATGCCTCATCAACAACTGTTTACATATGTAAAAATGTGGGAAACGTAAAAGAGTTCTGATCAGATACATATGCAGTAATATAAACTAAAATAACAATGAAACAAACATCCTGGAATGAGCAATACCCATACAAGTCATATTGGACATCTAAGAAAGGAAAGAGTCTTTGCAATGGTTTTCAAAAAGAAAAAATACCAGTAAAGATATACTTGCCAGCTTACACGCCCAGTTGCACTAGGGCTCCAAACCAAACTCATTGACCTACCAAGATAATAATCATTTAAAGTTGTAACAATCTACTAAAGGGAAATTGTGGAGAAGCCACCCCAGGAGTATTTACCCAGCATTGCCATATAGTCATACATTTCTTTGGCGCATTTATATATATGTGTTTTTTTCCCCGAATAAGAATCATATTAACCTGTTAAATCTGTGGGTGATTGAGGAGACAGCTAATACCGTGCTATAAACTTTCTGGCTAAGTCCCAAGCAGCATTATTGAAAGAATAGTGACCGGGTAGCTCAGTTGCCAAGTTGATTAAAGTGTTTCACCACCGTGTACTCAAACCAGTAATGTTTCCATAGGGTTGCCTGAACATGTGCAGAAATGATTTGTTATAATACAAGTGAGATGGTAAAAGTATTAAAGTATAGCTAAAGGCAACACAATTTTTTTTTAGGTTTGGACCAAGTGCAGAAGGATTAGAACACCAGTTAGATTTTTATTGCTACCTTTTCCCCTGTTAAGGAGATTGACATTCTTTATTTGTCTTGTTTACCATGATCATCAAAAGTTAAAGTAAAAGAAAATCCCAAATTGTGGGTTGTCCCAGAACAGTAATAGAGGGGAAATACATTTTCCAGTGGGGACACTAGTTCTGACCTGGGGGCCCCAATGGAATCCCTTAATTTGCAGGAATTTCCTCACTTCCTGTTTTTGCTATGGGACAGGATGTGAAGGTATATTTTCCAAAAGAGACACCGATTACAAAAAATAAACTGACAGGGGTTATAACCCTACCTTACTCTATCCAAAATGGAAAAAAAAGTTTTGCTATGGGACAGGATGTGAAGGTATATTTTCCAAAAGAGACACCGATTACAAAAAATAAACTGACAGGGGTTATAACCCTACCTTACTCTATCCAAAATGGAAAAAAAAGTTTTGCCTGTAGTTCTACTTTAAGTTATTCATGCTAAAACTATAAAACATACAGGAAGACAGGCATTGGCATAGACAAATATTGATGCCCTGTCCAATAATCTGTACGGTGGAAATAATGCCTTTATTTGTTCTGTAGTCTGATACAGAAACCTGAAATACAAAACACTAGCCCATAAAACAGGCACTGTAAATATAAAACTGTCAACTGCTATGAATGTTCTGCAAGAATGTATTTTTAGCTCTATAATATGGTAAGACCAGATAAATTCACTATCTTTATATTAAAACTTCTGGACACCATAGCTGGAAACTATCCATATACCTGGATCCTAAAGACAAATGTCATGCTTTTTGATTCCCCCAGCACCTGTTTAAAAGAAAATTCCATTATACGTTAATTTGTGTTGTCTTCAGCTGGTGATGTGATATTACTTTCCATTCTGTTCTCTGGCAGCAGCGGTGAGCAGTCCTGGCTGCACAGCAGAGCTCACGTAATGATGGCGTTCTCTCCAACAGTACTGTGATTCCAGACTGGAGCGATGACAGAACCTCCTTACATGTACATCCACTAAAAGTGGCTTAGTTTTGTGTCTTGGGATCAGAAAAGAAAAAAAACCAACCCGTAACCTAGCTATCATTATATTATCATTAATCACATGGAAACCTGTGTCACCTCTTAACGTGTATCCATGCCAACCTCCCTTATGGAAAGATGACTCATTGAAGATCTGTTTGCGTGTGCAATTACACAGGATTTCTCAGAGAAGAACTAGACTAGAAATATTGAATCTGCAAGATGTGGAAGACTCAGTATCAGTAGATTGTGTATGTTGTTTGACAAGTAGCATACACAGCATATAGAAATGTACTATTTTCAGTACTGAAAAGGAGGTCAAAGCATTAAAAATGGAGCTAAACCCTCCTTTTCTTTACAGCCAAGGAACCTGCAATCTTAGCCTTTGTTTGATTTGTATTTGCCATGGTGCTGCACATGTGATCAGTTATGACACCAGTCATTTTCATGACTTGACAGTTCAGTTGAGAGCAC